TCCGGCGTCACTCCAGTAATTAACACATCATCCATATAGTAAAATACTCCTTCCAATCCTTGGAAAACTGACGCCATGGTCCGTTGAAAAATGGGAGCAGATACACTCAACCCAAATGGTAATCTACAAAACGCAAACAACCCCTTTGGAGTCGTTATCGTCAATAATTTACGGATTTCCTTTCTCAAAGGTAACTGCAAATACGCCGACGAAAAATCCACCTTGGAAAAATATTTCGCACCCTTCAACTGAGCCAAAATCTCTTCAATCCTAGGCAATGGATATTTAACCTCCACCACCCATCGATTTACCGTGACCCTGAAATCCGCACAAAGTCTCAATTTACCATTTGCCTTTTTAACAGGCACTAACGGATTTGCCCAATCGCTATATCCCACAGGAATAATAATGCCGTCCTTCACCCATCTATCTAATTCCTCATCGATCTCCTTCCTCCATTCGAAAGGAACTCGCCGACAAGTCAAAAAGATAGGTGAAAAACCCTCCCTCAGTTGAACATCAACTTGGTAATCATTTAAACACCCTAATTTTTCATCAAAAATAATGCCATACTGCCTCACTAGAATAGGAATAGCTTGATTAACCTTATTCCAATCCTCTTTTCCCCCGGCCACAATTTGCTTCTCATTTCCCTTATCATTATGATCTAACTTACTCGATTTCTCCATTATCTCCTCCGAAATTTCACAAATTTTATTATCAGTATTATCCAAATTTTCACTCTCTCCAACATCCATTATTACATTATCACTAGTATTAAAAATATTCCAATAATTATTGGGAGGACCAAGCTTGGTAATCCAATCCCACCCCATAACAGTCTCAACATTTTCCTTTACTACCCATAAATCAAGGAAAAATATAGTATCATTAAGATTAACCCCCAATTTGGCCTTTCCCAACACAGCGACTTCCGATCCATCAAACTGCCTGACACACATAGCCTCTTTTTCCAGTTTTCCCCCAGGCCAATACTTATAAAAATTCTCCTGCGACATTAGAGAAATACTAGCCCCGGTGTCAAATAGCATTTCTATATTCCTATGATCAATTTTCAAACTAACCCTCGGACACAAACATGGTCCATCTAATCTCTCCGTCATTAAAATATCATATGTTTTAATCGGAGAATCAGCGTTTATTTTATCTAAAATAATAATTTCATTGGCATTCTCATTGCCCCTTAAATTCAACTCGGAATTTAAATTTTTATTACTGACAATTACATTTCTTTTAACAAGATTTGTGGGACATCTTTCCCAAATAAAATTCTTAACATCCCTTCTAAAAGGATACCGAACAATATTCCTCGGATATTGTTCCCACCTAAATCGACTAACCTCCCTCTCAGAGGAATTACGAGAATGATTTCTTATTTTAATTCTATCATTTCCCTCATTTCGACTAATAATATATGTTTTATTATACAAATTTTTCCGAACTCTCGGAGCCCCAACTCCTATATGATTCACCTTGCAATCATATAGTCAACACGAATTTCGTGATACTTCCATGCAGTCCACAGCTACATGTTCCGGCCTTTTACACTTAAAACATAATCGGACCCCATTTAAACTAACCATTTTTACATTGGCATTTCCTATATCAGGTCTCTTTAACGGAAATCCATCTTTAAACCTTTGCTCGGGGACTACGCAGGTATCCCTTTTATGTCCTCGCCATCCGCAACGATGGCAAATGATCATTTCAACAAATCTTTTATTTTCCTCGTAATCATTAAATTTCTTATTCATATTTCTATCACTCACCTGGCTCTTAACCGGACCTTTGCTCTCCTTCATCAACGCATTGATGGCCTCTTTCATTTCTTTCATTTCCAGGAGGATCCTATCTGACCTCTCCCCAACATTTCCAGCCTTGATTTCCTCTAAAACATCTTTTAGATTACTTTCCAAGTCTGCTATTTTCTTCCCATAAATATCCGATATTAAATTAAAATACGTTTCTGCCATTTTCTTTTTATAAACATCTGACACCGCAGTGTCCTTCTTCCAATTGCAATACATGCCTGCCAGTACCGCAGTACCCCTTTTTACCAACAATTTCAATATAATAATCAATAAATACATCATTAATAATATTCCCACAGTAATCAACTGTTTACCTAAATCCAATTCATTAAAGTTCTTATAAATAACTTTATAACCCAAATCCTTATAAAAGAGAACCTTATCCCCAAAACTATACTCCCCACTAGGCCTAAAAAAATAAACCATTTGCTCATAAATTTTCTTTAATTAATACTAATAACCAATTACAAAAATTTAAATATTTGTAGAAAATATTAATACAGCACCTAAATTAAAAACTTCTCTATTAGAATCGTATAATGGTTAGTACAAATGCGCAGTCAAAAATTCTTAAAAAAATTATATAATTAAAAATTTTTTGTTTTACCTTCTAAACCGAATAACTCCTAGGAAACTATCAGCGTCACAAGACACCACTAAAAAAAAACTTAAACACAAACTAAGAGAAAAACAAAAACAACTCAATAAATTCCCGAAACTACAAAAATCACCACGCAGACAAGAAATATAACTCGCGAAGAATGATTTTCTTTATTAATAATTCCCGAAATAAAAAACAATTTTATCACCATAAAAATCCGTAATTTTTTATATAAAAAGAAATTAATTTCATGAAAAAAAAATAATAATAATAAATTTTACATATATGTATTACATCTAATCTAGGTTGATTGGCATTCCGCGTTAAAAAAAAATATAAAACATTCACGTATTTACAAATACGACAATCGCAAAATACGTCGAAATGTCTACGGACCGGTTCATATTTTTAGACGCGATACATTCCCAGAAATAAATGTAGATCCTCTAAAATAGTATAATATTCAAAAAGAGGGAGTAAGAAAAAAGATTCTTTTATAATTGAAAGATAAATCATACTTAATTGAATAATAATCTTAATATCCAGGAGAAGAGAAAATCCCCCCCCCCCTCCTCGGTAGTCCAAAAACGAAAAAAACCATTAGTAAATATATCAAAAATATAGGCGGTCTAAAAAAAGAGCTGGAAAGGAGCCTGATAGAAGAAATACTCTCGGGGAAATTATTATTCGTCAAATCTATTGTGTAAAGAATATTCCAAGATAAGAATTATATTTCTTAGATGAAACTGGAATAAACTTGCACGTTGTACCAATCTACTCCTGGGCGCTATACAATGTCCGTCCAATAATAAAATCCCATCCTCTAAAATGTAAGCATACTTTGTACAATTGGTATTGAATGGGTAATCCATTATAAAATAATCGAAGGAGCTTTTAATGGGTTATTATTCCGTGATTTTATGACAGAGCTTATCAGTGTTTTACCACCATATGCAATTATTGTCATGGATAATGCATCTATCCAGAAGCAAACTTATCGATGCTTATAAAGGTAGTATTGAATACTACCATATTCACCTAAGCCAAATTTCATCGAAAATTGTCTTAAAAAATAAATATTGAGCAATCAATCCCCGCCCTAATTCAAGAGATGAAACTGTTGGGAATATTATTCAGGTCTTACACGGATTTATTCTTTATGATTTTACTAACTTTTACAATCACATGCAAAGCTCTTTGGAGTTAGGTTATCGCGGACAACTGATTAATTAGATAATCCTTATAATTGATCTGTATTAATAATTATAATATTAACTCTTTTAATTTCTAAAAACGTACCATCATCAAATTAGTGGAACAATGGAATGATTTGATAAATTTTATTTATATTTTTTATGTATTAATTATTTTATCGAAGTTATTATATTATTTTATGGTATTATCATATTTTTATCTAAATAAATGGATACAAAATTGCAAAATTGATTACATTTAAGAAATTCTAAAATATTTTCAAATATTAAAAAGACTAAAGACTTTTTACAAAAAATGATTTAGAATTTTAGATGAAATTTAATCAAAAATCTTACTTGAGCATTCATAAAGAATCTCAAAGAAATTTTTTCATTTTTCGTCACAAAATATATATTTACAACATAATTTCTTTTTATTATTTAAACATGACGATTAATCTTAATTGCTTGTCCATATTTAATTTCAATATGTATTAAATTAATTAGAATCTTATTTTGTTTACCCCATTTTATTGTATATTTAATAATGACTCGTTTCACTGTAATAGGAGACAATCTATCCAATATCATCTGATTCTTTTTCGGTCAATTGACCGAAAGTATATTTCACCGGTCAAATACTCTAAAAAATTTTTTGTGATAAAATATATTGCATAATTATTGTCACACTTTAATAGAATGACATCACATTATTAAACAGTTGTACTATCTGCTGGATGGAACTACCCACCTTGCTTTTTAAAAGAAATGGCAAATGTCTTAGTAAACCTTCCATTCATATCTTCTTTTTTTTTCATAAAGGAAAATTTACGTTTGGGGTAATATTCATGAAAAGAACCGAAATCGATTTAAACTTTGACTACGGGAAGATTAGTTATAATAACTTATGATTAATTTAAAATATAAAAGGTAATAATAACAGTTGAATTCGAAAAAAAAACTGCCAAAACAAATTCTTTCTTAAATAATTTTTTGCACCTCAAGAAATTCGTAGTTTACAGGGTCTAACTTGAGAGGTTAAATTTTAGGTAGGCGATTCTATTTAAAAATCGCATACGTGGAAGAATGAGAGGCGATTAAATTTTTACTTTAATTAAAATTTTTTCTAAAAAATATGTTTTATTAATATTGAAGAAATTTTTATAAAATGTGATTTTAAATTCTTGGGGTAATTAGAGCCACCATTATATTGGGTTAGATCGGCAAATTAAAAGTATCGGCTGATATTCCATATTTTAAGATTGTACTATAGGACTATATTAAAAAAAACTCAGGTCTCAATGCTATTGATCTACCAAATATTTCGATATTTAATTGAATAAAAATTATTTGAATAACTATTATATGATCAAGGTCGGTGGCTCCTTGTTCGCTAGCAATATTGGGAGCGAACATTTTGTCGGCTTGGCTGGATCTGGAGCATCGTCGGGTATTGGAGTTGCGGCATTCGAATTCAATGTAAATATAATTTTATAAATATTAGTATCATATAGTTTTCTTGATTTATACTTTAGCAATCGTGATTAAAGTTGCTTAGTGTAAAAATGTTATATAAAATTGTAATCATTCTGAGATTAAGTGACTATTTTATATATAACATTCCTACTTCTTATTAAATGTAGTTTAATTTGCAGTTTCTTTTATATTTCTAATATTGAAATCCCACCTTTCTGAATTATAGTGGGACAATTATTATCGATTGCCCAAAATTAATCTATTCGAGTAATTTTATTAAATTGATAGCATTCCATGCTCAAATCTGTTTTATTATTTTTTTAAAAAATTGTTTGCTATTATAAGAGTGACCCCTAAAGATTTTAAATAAAATTCCTTATTTTTCGTATATTTTTTTTTAAAAAAAGTGTCAAAAAATTTTATCATAATCTTTTATATTAAGCCAAGACCTTTTACATTTTTTTTTATATTTTCTTCGATTAATAATATGGCCAAGAATACTTAATATATATTTTTTCTTCTAAATATAAAACCTAATATATTATTTTCGTGCCCACGAGGGATAATATTTTTAAATCTTATGAAAATAATTTAAATTTATTATAATGATTTTTACAAAGTATGAAACTCTCCGCCCATAGCGTTTAAGAAAAATAAAAATTTTATACAAGAGGAGGGTAAATTATTGATTCGCTAAAAGATCTTTATAAACTTGATATAAATATTTGCACGTAAAAAAATAAAGTTTTTAAAAAAATATACTTAATATATTTATTAAAAATTTTTTATTATCTAGGCCGCTATAGTTCTACAGTTGTTAGGATGCCTTTTCTTACCCGTTTACATCGCCAGTGGGGTTTATCTTTTTATATTTTATATATATTCTTTTTTTAAATTCCATGCCATTAATTTTTCCAAAACATTAAAAAAAAATCTTAACCTTTATTGTCTTAAAAATAAGATTGGTTTTTAATTTTTTTTATATATTGTTTTTAAGAGATAATCTTATATTTTTAACCCGCCCTCAGAATTATTTGTTATATATAATTACGTAAAACGAAAATTTTTATATAAAAGGATCATATTTGTTTTTTTTGACCTCTTATTTTAAACGTTCGTATATATATAAAACAAGATACTTTTAAAATATTGGTTATTAATATACCTTGTCTGCCAATGTCAATAAGATTTTTTTAATTTTATTTTTATATATGCGATGACGCACGCGAAAGGCTTTTTAATTTTTATATGACACCATTTTTAAAATAACCTTTTTATTTAAAAAAAAACACAAGTATATAAATTTACAAAAATTAAAATAAAAATTATATTTAAAAAAAAATCTTATGTTATTTATAATCTTATTTAATAATAGATAAGTAAGATTACAAATTGTTTATTATGATAATAATAATTCATCCATTTTTTATAACCTAGACCTGGGCGAAGAGATATTTGTATGTACCGATACTCACGATTTCAGTTCAGTATATGTGCAGTGTTAAATGGCTAGATTTGAGCCTAGTTTTGAAAAACACAATATTTTATCCAGAAAAATATTGCGCAAGCCTTAAAATTTTTTGCTCACTGAATTGAGGTGGACCTTTTAAAAAATCGGCTAAAATCCAGCCGTTAAACAAAACTAAGTAACGTATCGACGGATACTTTCAATTTTAAGTGAAACAAGTGACCGATACTTCCAATAATAATAAATTAATTTTTTTATGCAAATTTCTAAACCTTTACTGAATCCTCCCCCACGATAATTAAACATGAATTTTAGAAATGAAATGATAACATATTTAAAATTTAGTTAGAATATTCAGAGTACTTTGAACAAATAATGAGAGAACAAAATGGTCTCTTTTGATGGTATTGCTTATTTGATATTCATTTTTATAGTTGGTCAGGGTTCCTTTTAGAAAATTCGACTGTATGACCGATAATTATTTGGGTGGGTTTTAAAAAAAAATAAAAAGAGAATTTTTAGTTTTGGAACATTTGATTTAACATATTATTCTCCGATAAATCTACACAATTGCGATGGGTCGGATGCTTAGTTAATTACATAAATTAGTTATGAATAAATAAAAAACGATAATATTGATTAATTATCTTGACTTTTTTTTCAATGAAATATTCTACATTTTTATTCTTTTCATAGTGGGAGGGTTTAGGCCAATTAAAAGTCTGCAACGGGCGGGAAGATTTTAAATATTGGGCAAGTGAATCGGCTGGTAATATTAAAATATATTTTGGATGAAATGAGCAGATTGCGTTTATATTTATCAGATATGTATAAAGGTCATAATTTTAGTGCCGGCACGGATATGTTAATATTGGTGTCATTAGTTTTCGGTTTAGGCTAAAATAGTGGCATCGGTGCATTTCTGATTCTTTTTACGCTAGACAGGTTATTTTGATTACCAATTAGGTTTTAATTTATATATAGCTGGGAAGTTTATAATTAAATCCATTTAAATATTCATTCTTTTCTCATATTTTTGACTGCCCTTTTGAAACCATATAAAAATACGAACCAACATCATTTTGAATGTTTAAATTTTAAAAAAATCGATCGGGCTTATATTAATAATTATAATAATTCAATTTTAAAACAATTAGCCGTTATAATATGTGAGTCATGCTAAGATACTTTATTCTATCTTTTTACGAGATATGCTAATTTTTATGTGTATCATGGATCGTAAAGGTCTAATTTTTAAACTTATCTGGCTCAGATTTTTTTAAAAGTTTCATTTTCAAACCCTACAAAGGTCCGGTTATTTTTTTAAAAAATTCCCGAATTACGGCGCCCCTGGTCAGGTCTTTAGGTTTCTTGATTTATATTAATTTAAAAAAATAAAATTGAAATTTATAAAATAAATTTCATAGAAATTATATTTATCATAGAAATTGCGACTTGATATTCGAATGAAACCTTTAATTACGTTATTAAAATATTTTATCAACATAACCTTAAATATTACCTACTTCTTCTTAAATATACCTACGTCTCCCTCGTGATCATCTCCATGTAGAGTTCTTTCCGCCTCAGGGGTATTTTAAGACGATAATCACAACCTATTTCCTTTACAGGTATGGCAAATAAGAATGGCATTTGAATAGTAAGCAACAGATTTGCACTTTGTTTCAAAATTATTTATTAACAACATTTAAAAAAAAATTATTTCTATTCTCTCTTAAATATTTTTATGATTTATAAAAAACACCTATTTTTTGTCCATTTAATTCCCAAGAATTATAATATTAAAATAAGCATATATAAGGTTTAACATTTAATTTTTTAATTAAAATTGTATATCATCTAATCCACCCAGGCGAATACACTCCCAGAATATATGAAGAAACGTTTCGGGGGAACTCGTATTAGGACTTATTTAGCCTGTCTCTACATAATTTTGTACATTTTTGCCAAAATATCGGTAATTTTTTTTTGTATAATTAAAATAAAACATGAATTTTTTTTTCTCCTTCTTCCTTTTTTTTAAACATGCCTTTAGGCTTTAGTATTGTAGAGCTGTTATATATTTTTTGGAAATACTTACTAATAGTGCGCATAAATTCAGTGTTTGCTTTTTGCCATACTTTTTTTTAATAAAAAAAACGTACACATGCACCCATCTTTATATTGAGGCTGTTTTTGATTTTATATTTAAAAAAAGGAGTATGTTGTCGAATCAGGACATGGACTAATTGTTTACTACAATTTAAATAAAAAATTAAATAGTTTTTAAGGTTAAAATCTTTATTGAATTATGACCAAAAATTTATGTTACACAAATATAGACTCTTTTTAATAAGAATATTATTGAAAGATATAAATTTTTTGGAATAATTATTTTTCAATTATAAAATATAATCCTTATCAATTTTTTTTAAGGTTGACTTATACTCGGGTGCGCTATTCATTGAAAGAGGGCTTAATTGGAATATGTACACGTCGATTTTTTTCATCCTTTTTATGACTGTGATATGTACTGTAACGGGTCAGTTTATTTATAAAATTATTTTGATATATGGAAATTATCGTTATTTGTTAAACGGAAAAAATATTAATTAATTGCACGCGGAGTAAATATGGGAGTTAAAAGTATAAAATTAGAAAAAATATTTTGTTTGGGATTAAAATAAATTACTAACAAAAAACTAAAACCCAAAATTGCATAATTTATATTTATCAGGTGGCTTGACTGCTGTGATGTATACCGATACGGTCCAAACGTTTTTAATAATCATTGGAGCAGCTGTAACCGCTTTTATAAGTTTGTTATAATTATAAATTAAATCTCATTATAACTATCCCTTTAAAATATTTTTTTATTTGTGCATTGTTTTTTTTTTAAAATATTACATTTTTTATTTGCTTTCCATGCAATGGTCTTTTTATAGTTTAGATTAGATCCTTTTAATGTATTTAATTATTCAAACGCAATAAATAATTGAATTATCAGCAAATTTTTCACCTATCATACCGATCCAATATTTGTATTTATTCACCATCTCTATCTTTGAATCAATTTTATATAAAAATTAATAACATCTATTTAAAAAACTTTCACGAATAATTTAGTGTATTTTGTTTTTTTTTATTTTCCAAAAGTTAATAATCTCATTTAAAATATAGGCTGTTTATGGCTGAATGTAGTGTTAATTAACCGATTTTTAAAAACGGTCAAATCAAGATTTTTGCCATGATATTATTACCTAAGCCTCGTAATTTTACCAATAGATACACAAACCTTTCTACCATCTGTGGGCAAAATTTTTAACCTTGAGTAATTTAATTTTATCTAAAATCTTGAGTTAGTTATTTGTAAAAATTGGCTAAGCCTAGCGTTTAAACGGAATATGACTCGTTAGATATTTTTAAATCCCTTTGTTGCAGATAATATAAAAAAAATAATGTCTATTTTTATCTTCTCATTTTAATATATTCGATATTTTAAATATTACAAATAAATTGAGTTTATGTTCTTTTTATTAATTTATTATTATAATCAAAATATCAGATCAGTTTTTTTAAAAATATGGGTCATCCGATATTTTTTTAAAACGCTAAATATCAGCCCGATTCGATATTTAATATCGGCACAACCCTACTATTATAATTTTATTTACCTCAAGACGTTATCTCTAATGTACCCTTGAAATTAATTTTTGATTAAATATTCTCTATTAAAACTAGGTATAAAGCGGGTCGGAGGCTTCCAAGCCCTCAAATACAAATATATGAATGCCATTCCTACCGGACTTGAAGAAACATTTATAGCCAATACAAACAGTTTTATAGAATCAGAAAAACATATCCTAACCTCGCAGTTCAAAAATTTCAGTCTTTACAATGAAAAAATGATATCTCGGTTTGTAATTATAATATGCTATAACAATTATATTTTATTTATAATACCATCAACGAGAAAATTTTACCATATTTGTTTAAAATTTGAATTGAATATAATGCTTACTAATTCATACGGTTTAGCAACCTTAATCCAACAATAACTGGGTTCACCTTCTGCCCTTATAAATATCTTTCCTCCACCTCTCACGATCCTTGGATCTATAAGGCTATAGCCTATTTTCGCTAGCTATTCTGCACCATATTCACCCATCTCTTCTGCCTTCTACAGAGCTCTGTTCCCATCATCTATCTCATGATTAATTTCTTCACCCGATTTGTGATCCGTGCATAAACCATCTCGACTTATTTCTCCTTATATTGTAATACCTATTTTCTATCCACTGGGTTATCTATTACTCAATATAAGCATTACACATATTATCATCGTCGTTTTTTTATTGAGGGTTTACTGGGTTAAATTGCACAAATTTTTGTGTAAGGAATTATCTTCTTATAAAATTAATTAGTTTTTTGTATATCTATTCATTCCCATTTCAATTAGAACAGTGAATCATGTCAGCGATTATATTTTCATTATTGTACACATTTGGAAATGCTAGGTTATATAATTTATATAAAATTATAAATTTTTTCATACAAGAGAACTCTACTCTGAAAAATGTAATCAATTTAGAAATGAGCTTAGGAATAGTCGGGAGTTTTAACTCCTAAATTCAGAGTTTAATTTTTATAAAAGACTTTACCAAAGATTCTTTGAACTTTAAATTAATTCATTTTAAAAAAAATATTGATATAAATATTTAAATTTTAATTAAAATTAATTTGATTCGACTTATAAAAATTAAGTTTAAATAAATTTTTAGTAAATTCGCTCCTGAGTGTAAAATAAAATATCTTTCATGATTTATAAGAACAGTCAGATAAATATATTTGAAACTTTAAAAATATAGCACAATAAATATGAACAATTTAGTTTTTTGAACCATATTTAAAATTTGTTTTCTTCGTATTCTCGATTTTCCTCTACAATTTTCCAAATACAGCCAAAATGATGAAATTTTAAAAGTTCGCTTATTAAAAAACTGCTTCGGGTCAAAAATTATTTTAAAAAATCAGAGCCAGTTTTAAATAAATATACCAGAGACCTGCAGATCCGGCTCTTATTTTAATTTTTTTAAATATACCCATGGCGGGCTTATAATTTTTTTTAGAATATTCCGGCTGGGCTTAAAATATATATTTTTTTAAAATACGCCGGTCTAGTCGTATAATCGCCATTATTATATATGAAATTAAAAATAAATATAATTTATTTTATAAAAATTCGGGCCAGACCGGGTCTGAAAATATAAAACCCGGACTGGGCTGGACATCCAGGTCGGACCATTTAAATGATACCTCTGCAGGTCTCTGAAATATATGACCTTTGTTGGTCTCAAATATCAAAATGGAGTTCAATTTTTTAAATTATTTTAATCTTTGTTGATTAATAATTTCCAAAGTAGCTACCTACTATTATTCGTTATTAAGCCATCAATGCATAGTTATAATAGCGATACCAATTTATTATTATCGCCCTATTTATTGACTTGTAATTATTATGATCAGAAAGGTATTCCACTCTTTTTAAAATAAACTACTTTTTTAAAGGTACAATAAAGGTTGCAGCTTGCCTAGGATAGATGCTTGGGTCTTATTACGTAATGCATGGAACTCTGATGTTCCTTGGCTTGGAATATTTCTCGGGCAGACCACTGTCTCGCTATGGTATTGGTGTACTGATCAAGTTAACTTATTCAGTTTTTTATTATATAATATTTTTTTGGAGTAGAAATAATAATATTTCTAATTTTTATATATTTTTGATAAAAGTAATGGTAACGCGTTTCTCTTAAGTAAAGCTTTGCATATTTTAAATTAACAAATCTTAAATTTTATTAATTTAAAGTCCTAAGAATAATTACATGATTTTTGATATAGAGATAATAAAGATTATTGGAGAAATATGTATAATCTGCTACTTTTAAAAATATTTTTGAGCCAAATTATAAATTACATATTGAAGCCTATCATTTTTCTCAAACAATGGAAATATTATTTTAAATTTGATATTTGTTATCAAAGGCCACTCATTTATAGATTGTCTACATAATAAGCATATATACTTTAAATCAGATATATCTTTATAGCCTATAGCTATGTCTAAACTGATGCTATCAAGGGTATATTTAAATCATTGATTTTTTTTTATTAAAAGGTAGGATTTTATATGATCAAAACTTAAACATGGGGATTTATAAAAAAAATGTGATATCTTTATTTCATATTAAATTAAAGAAAATACCTTCATTCATACATGAAAAGGTAAATTTTAAACATATTATAAACGTAAAATGGATCAAATTTACAGTTTGAAACACTGGTCTCATTGTAATAGAAAGAAATAATTTTAACTACATTATGGAGGCATAAAACATGTTAAAAACTAACCGTTTTACAAATATAAATTCTCTAGCAAACAGCCGATTTTATAAAAGAACAAATTTTAAATATTTTAAAAATTATCATTTTGTTACTGCTCTATTAAAAAACGATCCTAGTGACGTTAGACAGAACATGCTAAATGATAGTATTAAGGTCAATTGCAAAGACTTTGTAAAATAAATTTGTGCTAACAAATATTAAATGTTTTAGAAATTATTTTGTTACTCCTCTATTAAAAAAGAATCCTAGTGACGTTAGGCAGGACATGCTAAATGATAGTATCAAGGCATATAATTGCAAAGACTATGTAAAATATATTTGTGAAGAAACCCAAAAAATATTAGAAAAATAGTTTATCAAAAAGTTATGAATAATAGTAAAAAGATTAGCAGATTTTTTTAATGATACTAATTTCAATCACAAAATCTTGTCGAACATATCAGATTATGTCGAACAATGATTAACACACTCTGTATTAATAAGTAAATATCCAACAAAATCATCAAAAACGTTTAGTAAGACAATGTTTTCGCCTTCCACAATAATTTCTTGAACCTTGGTTGTGTGTATTTAAAATAAAATTTTCGTTGGCGATAATACAGAAATAATTTTTAATCAACTTTTATTGTTCATTTAATTATTTATCATTTATTAATTTATAATTAATAGAAATATATTAAATTAAAAGAAATAGGAAATAAGAAACTTTTACATGATTTTTTTTTATAAATTCATAGCATAATGTATACTATTTTTTTTTAAAAAAATTATAAATGTTAGTTATTATTTTTAAATATCGAATAAAATTGAAAGTATCGGCCGATCCAAACGACTTCGAGAAAATGTTTGTCCAAGCGGATCGGTCCAACTTTAAATTAATTTGAACTCCTGATTAATCTTATTAATATCGTTTAAATAAAGCACAATTCAAATAATGTGATTAACATATAAAATTTATTATTAGATAATTTGATCTATTTACTCATTTAAATCCTTTTTGAGCAGTATTTTTTTAAAGCAATTTTCAAATCAATGTAAAACGTTTGACAAATTATTTTAATGCTAATTAAAATGTCATAATTTTTTTAAAATCAAATCCTAATTTTAGATGATGGTTCAGCGAGCCTTAGCCGCTAAAAGCTTGTCTCACGCCCAGGGTGGCACGATATTTGTCGGCTATCTTAAATTATTACCCTTGTTTTTACTCATAATACCTGGAATGGCCAGCCGAGTTTTGTACACAGGTTAAAAAAAGATATATTGCAAAGGCTTCACTAGCCTACAATCTCAGGGGGCTCAAAAAATTATTTTCTTTTTTTAGCTAATCTAAAATTACCTTTTTTTCTTTTTATTAAAAAAAATTTAAAGGGCGCGAACCCCAGCGCGCCTCCCCTCCCCTAGTGACGCTACTGATATATTGCCTTAAATAACATTTCGAAGACTTAATATCATTTTCCAATCCATGATATGAATATTATTAAAAATAACCTCCTTTAAAAAGAGGAAGATTTAATATATTTAGTTTTTACATATTCAAAAAGTGTTTTTTTTTCTTTTGAAACAAGTTTTTTTCATTAATTTTATGCATATTTTATTGAACTTAAATTTTGTCATTCATTTTTAGAATGGTCATGCCAATTATTCTCAATCCATCTCAAATACCTCCATTTTTTACGAATGTCCATCTTCGATTTAGATTCACCTCCAACGCATTTCTCTCGATATAAGCTTATGTATTCTTTCCATTATTCCCCGTCAGCTTCTCTCTTTAATGCTCAAAACCCAATCATTACCTTTTTTTCGAACACGGGGGGGGGGGGGGGGGGTGTATATATTTATATTTGGAGTAATGAAAGATAAAGCCAATAAAAACTTGTTAGTATGTGGGATCAATATTACAGAGTTGCAGAAGACTAGGCTAAGATTCAAGGAAAGCATAAAAAATGTAGACATTTTGTGTATTAAAAGACTTCCCCTCACGTTGAACTCAACTGTAAGATTTTTTTATGAAACAGATTGACTTTAAATAAAAATGAAGAAAAGGGACGTCAAGTCAGAAAAGAAAATAGATCGATTTTGGGAATGATAAAAATGATCGTATTAGCAATGATAAAATCATTAAAAATAGAATATGGGAGAGCTGGTCAAGGTAGTCTAGTGGAACGGACCATATAATTATGTTGGAAGGGGGAAGGGTAGTAGATTTTGGCAGAGATGGCAAGTGAAAAAGGGAAAATAGGTGAAAAAAATGGAAGGATTCGCCCAAACAGGATATGAAGATTAATACTATACACAGCTGAAACAGTTAATGGATAAGAATTCGCCGATAAGATAATTTTGGACAAAATGTGTGACAGCAGAATTTTAAATAAAGTGTAGGTGAAGTTGTCTAAAAAAATTAATTTTTTAAAAAAAAATCAACTCTGAAATCATAAGTGATTGGAAATTGATTTTTTTTAAAAGAATATTATAATAGAAAGATTTAAAATTTATTATATCGAAAAAAAATATTTGAAGTGCCCGGTTGAGCTGATGATCTATATTTCCTATAAATATATTATATTAATTTGTTAAATAACTTTAGACTTAGTGGCCTGTTCAGATCCAGAAAAATGTAAAAAAATATGCGGGAATAAAGTCAGTTGCGCCAACATAGCATACCCTCTTATGGCTTTCGATATATTGCCCCCTGGTAAATTACTTAATTATTTGATATGACAATATATTCCAAATATGTTTTGGGTTAGCATAATTTTAAAAATAAATTAGATTTCGCATAAAGGTTTATCAATTAATTGTTTATGAGAAGTAAGGTGATATATTTTAGTTTTAAAAAAGTGAGTGCTATTTAACGAAATAAAAATTTAAATCGGATATTGAGAGTCTATAATTTAATTTAAAATCTTATATAGAAAAATCATTTTAATATATATAAAAGGAATGAAAGGCGTCATGTTTTCTGTGATGTTAGCAGCCCTCATGAGTGATCTAGCGTCCGTTTTTAACAGTTCTAGCACCTTGTTCACGATTGATATATGGCAAAAGATTAGGAAAAAAGCTAGCGTTAAAGAGCTCATGATTGTTGGCAGGTTAGATTTTCAATATTAATACAATAACTGACATTTTAGCGGTAAAATAATTCGAGACCAATTTTTAAAGTTTTTTTTTTGATAGCTCGATTAGGGCAATAGATATTTTATAATTTTTTTTTAAAAAAAATTGATTACATTATGATAATTTAGAAAATAAAAATCCCATTTTTTTTAAATATCAATTTTCACACAAAATGGTCACCAATTATTTTGAAGTGAGGAAAATGTGACAGCAATTATTTTAAAACAGTTTAGTTATGACAGTTCATGGTCAAATAACAGTAGTCTATGTTTAACACAGTCATTTTTTAATGGTACATGTCCCGAGTCTGACCCTGCCCGAGATTTCTAATTTAATAATATAGATTTTAATTTAAATGAAATAAAAACATTAATTGCATTGTTTTAATTTCAGAAAATTTCTAATAACCGTTTTGTTTTAATAAAAGAGGAAAAAGTATCTATTTATAATTTTTTTTAAAGTATATTTTTAAGTTTAGCCCGATTTTTTAACCCTAGCTAGCCTCGATTTTGATATTGAGTTCTGTGGTAAGTTTTCTTATTGTATTAGCATGATAAGATCATTATTGAAGTCCGAAGCATTTGTACACAATGGCTCTTCTTTCAGGACGTGATTTAGTTTACTCTGAAATTTTCCTTCCTTATGTTTTTGGGTGTTTTCGATTTTATCTTCCTTTACTTCTAAGATAGGTATATACTTCACGCTCGCATCATTTACTCACTTTTGAATCTGATTCAATACCTCTTTACTTTCAGCATTCGATGAACTAACTTGTAATAATAGAACTTAATGTGACTATTTGTTGATAAATTTAAATTGGATATTATTATTTCTGAATATAAAAAAATAAATGGACAATAGTAACTTCTTTTTTTTAAATGAATAAAATATTTTTAGAAAAACTTTTTGAAATTGTTTTTTAACAATGGTTTCAATTTACTATATAACTAAAAAATTTCTTTTAAAAATTCAATTTATAATTAAATTTTTTATAATGATTATATTATTTGAAACTCCTCCAAGAATTTCTTCGTAAAGAATTTATCATCAGGAAGGAACTATCTAAAATCCATTTCATCGTCAATAGAAAAGAAGCTTTTAACTTGTTTTGTCGAATTCTATATAAAAAAAAATATACAAGGCCGCTAATCGCAGAGACATAAAAAACATCTTTTTCTCTCACATTATCTGTGCAGACTAGATGTTACTTTAAATAATTCTATGTGGATGGTGTGAATGATATGGATTTTAGATAGTTCCTGATGTCGATGACACATCATGTTCGGAGAATAAGATTGGATGAGGTAAATATTTTTTATCAAAAATTAATTACAAATTTTAATTATTTTTAAAAAATATTTTATATTGTAAAAAAAAGCCAATATAAAAGATTTTTCTAAATATATTTTCATGACTGGAACCCGATAAACATGTTGTGCCCAAATACTTTGTATTTAAATTTTATCCCTTTCCCGAACTTATAAGTACATGCCTAAATTTATTTTGTGTTCTCATTTCAAAATAAATTAAAATATAAATTAGATGCTTCGTTCTCGTAATGGTGGCAGCTAGCGTTGCTTGGATCCCCGTAATAGAATCATTTCAAGGGGGGCAATTGTACATTTATATTCAGTCTATGGGCTCATATTTAGCTCCTCCTATTGCTTGTGTGTTTCTTTTGGCCGTTATGTGGCCAAGGTGCAACGAACAAGTACTAAAATGTTCTTATTCAGATAAATTATAATTTTGTGTATTTATTATTAGGTTTCTTTTTTATAGCTTTTTGGAAAATTATAATGGTTCATTACGGGTTCGGTTTGAAAAACTGATTTATTATTACACAATGATCATAACCTTTGAATATGATTTGTTTTTGTTATATGCATTTTTAGGGTGCTTTTTGGAGTCTAATGCTTGGCCTGGGTATTGGTTTGATACGTATGTTTCTAGATCTAGTATATAAGACACCTAGCTGTGGAAATATCGATACCCGCCCGGCCCTTATAAGGGTTCATTTTTTATATTTCGCTGCAATCCTTTTTTGGATCACGTCCCTTTTCTGCATAGCTATTAGTCTCTTAACGCAACCGTTACCAAAAAAATACGTGAGATTTATCATATAAATTAATGCTCAAATTTTTCACATAATATATTAAATGATTTGAATAATGGTGTTTTTAAAATATATGAGATACTAATAATATGTTACAGTTATATAGTATTATTATAATATATTTATACAAAATTATTTTTTTTAGTCAATACTATCTATCATTAAATACTTTTTTAGCTCATAAAGACTACTTATTGGACCAGATTTGCCAACTACGAAACCGCGAAATGCTTTACTTCTAACCCAAACTCAGAACACCAACTACTCAATAAAACACAAATACTTAATTCTACTTCATATCCTACAGCTAATGGTTCCAAGTTCACAAAATTATCGACAGGTCTCAACACAAATGGCAACTTTAATGAAAGCACTAATGATAAAATTGGCGATCACAAAAATAAAATTAACAACGTTGATTTGATTGCTTCCTCGCATAGTAATATACACTTTTAAATTAAATTATAAAATTTATTCGAACTTTTATTGGAAAGTTTTGGCTTATTACAATTTTTGCCTGACAAAATAAAATTGATTGGTTTATTTTTTTTAATTGGATAAGCTAATTTTTATTATTAAGGGTATTTTGTTACCGTTTTATAAGGAAAGAAAAATAATAAAATTTGAAATAAGTTTATTTTATAGAGTTTTATTGTACGTGAATTGTCAATTTATACTAAACATATAATATAATATATGATTAGATCAAATTTTGCAAACATCTCAAGAACCTTCGCAATCGTCGCAATCTCCTCTCACCGAAAAAAACAATCCCCAAAACGGCAAATGCTCTAAAATCCATACCATATGGATGTGGTTTTTGGGATTCGAACACAATTTATCGGAACAATCAATTTTAAACGCGCAAAATTTGGAAGCAATTCATGCTGAAAGATTGGAAAAAATTCAATCCTTAAGTCAGAGCCCTATAGCCGATTTTATCATCAAGGCTAATGTTGTTCTAATCATTTCCTTGGCCATTTTTTTGATGCTCTATTTCACTTTTTAAACACAAATCTCCCCTCCCCTCATTTAAAAAAAAAATTGTTTATAGAGTTTTCGTCTAAACACATTAAATAAAAATGCAAAAGATTTCCCAAATATTGCTAATCGATGGTTAATTTTTTGTTAACTTTAAAGTTAGGTATTTTTTATACCAATATAAATTTCGTATTATATTTCATAGCTATGATCATTTTAATATAAAGAATATTATAAGCTGTCTAAATTTTATTGTAAAACTAATATATTTGCATGTACATGTCATCCAATTTATCCATTCCTTCATATTATATAGAGAACATTTTAAACTAATTCCCAAAAATACTCATTTATTATATCGATATTCATGGGGAAACAATAATTATATTGACTAAACTATGTTAATTTTTACAATTTTTTTTAAACAATTTAGTTATAATATTTTTTAATTAATATATCATGACATAAAAATTTACTTCAGAATAAACGATATATTTTATTTTGACTATAATATCCTATAAAACTTTTCAAATTTATTTAAGCCATACACTTTATTTTGGGCAATGACATATAATAATGCCTATACTGACTTTTCATCTATTCATTTAAATGTGCTAATACAAATCAAAGCAAAATGGCATATTGCCAGCTAATTTCTATTAAACGACTCTTCAAAATGCATTTAGTTTAGATACATATTATACATCATTGGTTTTGAGATAGGAAATGAAATATTCATAAAATTAAAGAAACGCCGATCTGAATTTGGTATGACGTATTTGAAAAATTTTGCCATCATTTATATAAACGATGTCTATTGTACTATTTAATACTTTTATTTTAGCTTATTTTCTGGCTTAATATATTGTTAGTCGTGGAAGGTGGCAATAATGTTGTTGTGTCTGTTAATAAATACATAGGAGAAAACTTTATAAGATTAAATTTTATACACTTAAAATTTCATTATAATAATTTATAAAATTAAGAAATTCAATCTAAGTTTTTTTTCAAATATTATCAAACATAATATTCCTTTTTCGAGGGTATAGCTTGCAACTTTTAAATATAATCTGTTATATAAATCAGATCTATAATTTGATTAAGAAGAACACTTGTGTCTTAAAAAAAATGTGGCTTTGTTTAAAAATTTACTTTTTAAGTTGGTATTGGGATTGAGTAAAGTGGTAGGTCTTTTCGATTTTTCCAGAGCCCCAAGTAAGGTCGGATTTACTGAAAATGCAGCGTGTTCGTTGTGGGGCATGGATGGTATTGTACTTGTTACACTATTATTTGTGTTTCCGTTAATCTTTTTAACTCTTACTATTTTACCCGTAAAATTGTGCCACTCCTCCGGTAACAATAAGAGTATGAATCCGAACAAGATGAAAGCGTAAGATATTTGCAACATGCGATTGAAATTGAGATTATTGAAGTACATATCTATAACTTAGCAAATAAAAAGAATGGAAAGGGGTGGGGTTATATTTACTACCATTTATATATTAATCATGATATCAGGGTTGGGTATTTGATCGGTTAAATAAAATTCAGACAATTGACCGATAGATGGGTAAAATTAAATGTGTATTTGTTTTTAAGACAAAATTAACTTCTTCTTTTTTTATTCTATAAATAATGTTTCATTTGCATTGGTAAGCTTTTGTATTTAACTAAGTTATCATTTTTTTTAATTGTAAGCTATAACCAATTTTCTTAGTCATGGTTTTAAATCGATTTCAGTTCGACTAGTTTTTTGTTGTTGAAGAAGTTGAACCTGGGTTTACTATGACATTTGCCGCTTCCCTTAAATGGCAAGGAGGATAAAGTCCCTTCCACCAGTACTGACATCTAATTAAATAGATTAGCAGCTGCATTCTCTATATTTTGCTTATCAAAAGATGCTTTAAAATGGAAATTTTTTTATATCAGCTAAAATATCCTAGTAATCCTTTTATTGTCGTAAACTTCATCAAATTTATTACTCAGGTAGCATTGTGGGCAGTTTTATTGAGATTTTTAAAATTATTTAAGCATGTTAATTGTTATTTCTTCTGACGAAGAACATATTGGATATAGATATATTTTATTTATTATGTGGGTCAAAATATTTATCCTTTATTCATAACAATTGTTAACGATTGAAGTATGCTTAAAAATGAATCATTTTTTTTATTAAATTTGTTAATTGTCTCATACATATTAAATATCCGGATTTTCACTTACGTGAAAGGGAAATTGCTCGCGAAGTTAGATTTTGCAAACTTTTCTACATATTTTAATTTTTGTCGATACTATCTTATTTACCAAACATATAATACCTTATCTTGATAGGCCTGATAGTCAAAATATTGTCACCAAATTTGAATAGATGGTTGTCATTTGATTCAGTTCTTCCAGATTTGGACTACTATAAATATGGTTATTTTCACTTAATATCGCTTTTTTAGGATTAGGGGTCTGATTCGTTAAGGTGTTCTTATCTCATTTCATCAAAGTGCGTGTTAATTATGCGATATATTTAATCTTTTTATATTTAACCGACGAAATACATTTTTTGGTCAATTAACCGATTTTCCAAGACCGATAAAAAAAATTTATAAGATATATTTTATAATATGGAAATAAAATACCTGCATTTATTATAACACTGAAACAGATTCCTAGAGTCGTATAATTTGAACAAGCTATCAAGGGCCCAAACTCAAGCAAAAGAATGTGTGCTACGAGAAAAAAATTATATAAAAATTTTTAACAACCCTCTCTTTAAAATGGCTTTTTTTAATCAGTGGAGTAGCCAAGGCCCCTCGTGGAAAATATTAATAGGTAAAATTTAGTTTTCATAATATTTATTGTCCTTTATTGATATTTAGGGGAAAATTTGCTTTCACTTCTTTTAAATTGATAAAATCCCCCTCCTTAATTTTGTATTTCTATAAAATCATCTTTAATATCCTATTTCAGAAAAAGTGCGTGAAAAATAATCTTAGAAATTATTTTAATTACATCACTAAGATTAAATTTTTTAATCAAATTTTCAAATAAAAAATAATTTCGTTAAAATTTATATTATAGAATATTAAAAAACTTTCCAAAACATTTGGCCTAGTGTTGTTAAATTTTTAAGTCTAAAAGTACAATAAGTTTTAATATTTACTACTAAACAATTGTCAACCCTAGCGCTTAAGGTTAAAAATTCATCTACTATAATCGTTTTCAATTTTGTCGTAAAAAATCAATCCTTACTTTGGTATTAAATTTTCTAAAGATCGCACAACTCTTTTTTATGGTAAATCTATTAAATTAATATGGATCAAAGCAACAGCCAGAGCTGATCATATTTTTAAATACGATTCAGGATTGATTTTTGATAAAGATGAAATCTTTTTTATATATATTTAGTTTGCTTGAGATTTTAAAAATATAATTGAAAAATAATTGATTTTTAAATCAATTTCAAATATGATATTTAGACAGTTTTTATTTTGCTTATAACTGGTACCTGTTTATTGATTGGAAAAACAAATTGATGAATTGATATGTATTTGTATACTAATCAAGTATTACATATTTCTATAACATTACGCTAATTTTGGTAATTTTTTCTTATGCTGATAATGTGCTAGTCTTTAAACTCTACCAAACGAGTTAAAACAGTAAAAAAGGCACTAAATATAAGCTTCAGAATTGTTTCCCGAAGTTTGGCTGACTTCACTCTTAAGGCATAATTCCATAGTTTTTATTGGGCTTATAATTTGGTTACTTTTTTATGGTTGGCGAAATTGATTGAAGAATTAATAATAGATATTATATATTAACACAAACCAGATATTTAAAACTTCTATGCTCACCATTATGGCATAATGCCAATTTTTTCCCCTTTTAACCATCTACCAAACAAATTAAACAAAAAAGAGTAACAATTAAGCACTATTTAATAGTTTGGTATGAGCTTGAATTGGTGTTTCTAAAAACTTGGTTCACTCTATGATTAAAATGTGTTGTAATAGGTTTGATTTTGTTTATAAAACGGTTTCTATTTGTGGGTGGCAGAACTGATCGTAGAATTAATAAAGTTAGGCACTAAATATTAGCCAAAACTAGATATTTAGTTCCTCTATATTTTCCATTCTGATACGATGCCAATTTAGGCAATTTTTTTTATTATTTTGCTAATAACTTTTTTCTCTTTCTGCTGTCCACCAAATAGATAAAAATAATATACAAATTAAGTACTAAGGTTATATCCTAGCTCAACTTAATTTTGGTCCTTAATTCTATTCATAAAGGTATCCTTGGACACCATTTTTTGGATTTTTTCTAAAAATAATATTTAAAAGTGTAGTTTTATATTTTTTCCAAATTTAAAAATCACTCTTCAAAACTGCTTTTAATAATTTTTTAAATAAAATAGACGGGTAAGAACACAGTCTAAACCAAAGACCTTCATGGGCCTTAATTTTTTAGGCCCAAGCCCGGCCCGGACCATATTTAATATCAAAAAAATTCCCAAGTCCGGCCCAAGCCCATGATAAGTTTCAAAAAAATTTCCTAAACCCGGCCCAAGCCCATATCCAAAAATTTAATTATTATTTATTTAATGAAAATAAACAACATTTAAATATATTTAAGCAATTTGTTTACAATATTGAAATTTATTATTATTAGAAGAAAAAAGGCAATATTTCTTTAAATTAGCAACTAATAATCTAAATTTAAATTTAATAATTTTAGGTCCAAGCCCAGCCCAAACCCTTAAAAAATTTTTTTTAATCCAGGCCCGCTAGAAAATATAATATTAGATGGGCCGGGTATGGGTCTGCGGGCCGGCCCGGCCCATGAAGGTCTCTGGTCTAAACATATATAAAGTTTTAGGAATAAATGCATTCAGTCATTTTTAATCGTGAGGTTGGCCAAAATTTTCCATTACTTTTTTTGCTTAATACATTAAAACATTTATAGGTACTAATACACGAGACATCAGCATTAATTTTAGAATTAGTACTTACAATTATTCCACCAAAAGGGAGATCATTTAAAAATATTACATAGTTTAAAAAGCAATATAAAAATAAATATGGAAAAATAAAAAATCAGAATTTTTCAGCGAGATCCGGCCAAAAACCGTGAAAATAGGGATTGGATAATCCCTCCCCCCTCCTTTATAATTTTGACTACGCCACTGTTTCTAATATTATCTTACAATATAAAAATATATATTTTGTCGCCAAATTTTTAGGTCACTTTTAACAAATACACCCACCTCAACCCTTCCCTTACATTGAGTTCTAATTAGTCTTAGTAATGCTTTTATTTTACAAATCAAATATTTCATTTATTTGAATAATATTCACAATTCAGAGTATCCAGATAAATTATCAGAATATCAATTTAAAACAAATAAAATTTTATTCAAAATTTTATTTTTTAAAAAAATTAATTTATTATTGAAATTTACGAAATAGAATTTGTACGCATGCCCCCTCATTCATAGTTACAAAACAAACTGTATTTTTGTATTCGGGCTTACTAAATGAGAGGTTACCCAAAATTCACAGTTACTAATTAGTGGCAAAATTTAGAAAATATGCTGTATTATTTTATATTTTTATATACTTGACCACGAATTCTCCCTAACTGAGAATGCAGGGTAATGTAAATGGGAGAATCATTTATTTTCTTTAAAAAATTTTTGACTTTGCACACACCCTCGTTTTCAGAATTTAATACGCATAAAATAAATTGACCCAAGTTAAAGTTATAATATTTTTTTTTTAAAAAGTTACTATTTTATTTATCATTAAAAACAAATAAGAACAATCATAAAAAAATTAAAATCTTGGCAATAACAAATAGTGCATCCTGTCAAATAAGGATTTAAAATATTTAACCCGTCGTTTATTCATCATTATATATGAAAAAATAAATGTTTTTGAGTAGTGTCTGGCCTACTCGGTAATGAATCATATCACTGTTGTAGCAGTTAGAGAAAAGAAGAAATAAATTTAATATAATATACTAAATGTCAGTCAATTTTTATGACATGAAGATTAATTTTCCTTGAGGGAAGAAGAGGGAATGGGGAGATCACGTGATGCCAGCTGAGGGAAGAACAAAGAATATACATTGGATGTCTTGGACCATGTGATGGAATAGTTATTGGTTATTGGTTTATATATTTTTATATTAGTTGTTTATCATTGTGAATAAATAATTTGAAAGAACTCTTGGAAATTTAAGTATAGATTAAGCTAAAGGGAAGGGTTGAGAGTAAGGGGCTTCTTTATAATCACCAATCGAATAAATCTGGGTGCAAATCCAGCAAGGGCCATATTTTTTTCTGAAGCCAACCAGGTGGTTCTGTGCTACGGGATATGGTACAATTTCGGAAGAGATAGTGTGATTCTGTTATTATTTTAAAAATGGTTCCCGTTCTAAATCACTAAAAATTTGCTAAAAACAAAAAAAAATTGGAAATTTTGCTTATAACTCTAGAAAATTTTAGTACAATTGATATAATTATAAATTAAGTTTTTTAAAAAATTGCTAAAAATGAGGGAAATATCAATATTCTGAAAATTAATTTTCAATTTGTGAACCATTCTGGGATCTTGATGATATTTCCTCCATTCTTAGCGTTAAACTCAATTTAATTTTACTTTTCTGACATTTATTAATATTATTTTTAATATTACCTTTAAAATTTTCTAAGAGATATAGGCGAGATTCTTAATTTCTTTTATAGCTTAGAACCAATCCCTAAAAATTGGGGCATATTGAACTTTAATAAAATTTGGTGGTCAGTAAAAATTTGAAAAAATTGGTCATAGTTTTGGAAATAGTCTGACGGGATTTATCATTAGTCTCTGGCAATAACAAAAAGTAATTTTCTCAAAAAACATATGCTGAAATTTTCAAAATATAAAACTAAACTGAAAATGTTATTGTATATAAATATTTAACATTATAAAAATATTATTTATTATTCCAATATATTTTTACTTTTAGAATAATATTCGTGAATATTAAAATAACAGCACTACTAGGTCATAGATATAAACAAATAAGATAGCATGTTATCCCAAAAATATTCAATGTATATTATATTGACCTGTGTGCAATACAGCTGATGCCAAAAGATGAAGCCACTTGACACGTTTCCAAGATACTCGTTCTACTTTGGTGAAATGAAAAAGTATGGCTACCGGCCAAAATAATAGCAAATTGGCGATGCACAGCACAAAATAGAAAAATGCCATTTTGTTGAGTAAAAGAGTGAAAGGGGATAAGCGAGTTGATATATCCTTGTGACCTAAATAATTAAAAGCTGAGGGTGAAGTCTGACTTCTTCTTATCTTGCTTTTATTATTAGCTAAGGGGGATAAAAGCGTAGTTTGGCTTAAATGGTTTAAATGAGTGTCTCTTTTACTAATTTGCAGATAACTTCTAGCGGCTTCATCAACTGTAATATTGGCAGAATATGTCTTATCGTTATTGATGTTGTGATCACTTCCAATGTTGATATCATTACCCATTTCATTTGGATTAGCTAAAGAGTGGGAAGATAGGGGGTTATTTTGCGACGAAATGAGAGGGGAGTAACCGAAAATGTTTTTAAAATTGACCTGAAATATAATTCCAACAAAAACTGTAATTATTATTAGTGATAATCAATATTAGTTGTATGAAATATTTAATTTATTTTTTCAAGGTTATAATTTAGCAAATTATCAGATTATCCGTTTTAATTAATAATTTAATTTAATTTTAAATAATTGAAGCAAATTAATTCTTATTTATATATAAAAAGTATTATCGTTAACCATGAAAATAAGGAATAGAGATGCCCAACGGATATACTTAGATTTCAAATTCTCATTATTCTGCTCAAATCAAAAGGTTAAGGTTAAAAACTAGAAGAAGAAAAAATAACCTTCTAATCACGTGACTTATTTGACTTTCTAGTTACATAAAAAATTTATAGTTAGAAAATTCCTGACACTGGGCATCATACCAGAAATGACTTTATAATATGAAATATTCATACAAATTTATTTTTAATAATTTTTATTTATTTAAATTATTACTTTGAATAAGGAGTACAAAATCGAAGAAAGAACGATCAATAAAACATGTCCTAAATAACTCAGGAAATCCCCACGATAATGCGTGATCAGTATAATGCTTGTTATAAAACACATTTTAGCTATAATCTTGACGCCAATTATGAGGTCAGAAAAAAAAAATTACAAAATTTTACAATTAAAATAATTTTTTAAACAGAGGTCTGAAAAACAAAATCTTCAAAGATTTTGTTAAGATTTTTTTTTAGTCAAAATTTTAAAGTAAAAAATCTTTTGAAGATTTAAAATTGGAAGAACAAATTTTTTTTTAGCAATTTCAAAAAAATCTTTAGGAACAAAACTTTTAAAATATTTATGAGACCTATAGAGGTACCATTTGCATGGCTCGGCCCGGATTTTTTTTCAATAAAATTTTTCGGCCTGGCATGGATAATAAAATTTTCAGGCAATGCCCGAATTTTTTTAAAATATATTATATTTATTTTTAATTTTTATAGCTTATAATGGGAAATTAAAATGTTTGGTTTTAGAATATATAGCCCGGCCCGGTTATTTTTTTAAAAAAAAATTTCAGGCCCTGCCTAGGTATTTAAAAATTTTTTTAGGCCCGGTCCGGGTATATTTAAAAAATTAAAATAAGGCTCCGGCCCGTTTTCCCGAGGGGTCCTGCAGGTTTCTGATATATTAACCCGAATCATATTTTTATGACTTTTTAATGTTTAAGAGGCGGATTTCAGTTAAATATTGGCCTTGCCAGGCAGTGGCGTCATAATCTCTATATCATTAGGTATTTTCCAAAAAAATGTAAAAATTTTAGGTTCTTCAAAATTTTAAGGTGACTTAAGCCCCTGCCTCCTCCTCTATACGCTAGCTGAACTAAATAAAAGAAAATCATAGTAAAATTATGATGGTCAATAGCTGCCCTCAAAAAAAACTATAATAATCAATAACCATATACCGCGGGTTTCACAAAAAGACGAAAACTTTTTAACTAGCAACTTATGTTTTTTTATATCTACAAATTATGTTTTATAGTAAACGCTCTATCCAAGTAGGTGTTGCAAAATAGCCCGCAATTCTAAAGAGGTGGGAGGCGAAAAAAGTCAGCCTTAAAGCTTTCGGAGTATTTTAAAATATTATATAAATCCATTATTTATTTTAATATAAAGGAAAGATTGACAAATCTTAATTACCTATTATATCTCCCAAAAAATTAATTTTACATTACACTTTAAAAATTAAATCCCGATAGTTGGGCGTTAAAGTTTTAAATAAAGTCTGAAAGCCGAATATTTTCGTTTCAACAAACTCAACCGATTTTAGTTTGGCGAGAAGACCGGTTATAAGTTTTGGAATCAGCACAAATTGAGCAATTTTGCAAGGCCTATTTCGGTCAATCAGTATCTCTTATTTCACTATAATAATTTTTATAATTAATTTATTTCTCATTATTTCTGCAAAATTTATAAAATTAGTTTAGAGGCTATGTAGCGAGCGAGAGTATTCTTAAAGGCCCGATAATAAATATATGATAAATAAATTTACAATTAAGCTTTTTAAGTTATGCCCCTTAAGGCAACATTTGTTGACCTCATTAAAAGCAGATGAAATAATCATGGAAAAGAATTCCTCAAAAAAATTTTCCACTAATAATTTTTTTGAAAAATTATAGGGAAATACCCACCCTTCCTCCCGGAATTATTTTTCGCTTATCACGATAAATATACCAAGAGTAGCTAGTAAATTAATCTGACGAGTCACTCACCTTCCAAAAATTATACATGAAATGCTATTTTGATAATTAAAAAAACATTTATTAAAAACGACCTTGTGAGCCAAAAACTTTTCGTGCAGAATGACCCAAGAAAAAGCGTAGACGAACGATATTTGAGACGAATATATGGTAGTTATCTCAGAAGGCGACATTAAAAAAGAAGCCAACAGGTAAAAATACAAAGAGCTGGACCATAAAAAGCTGAAAAAACATAAGCGCCACAGTGCTTTTCTTTTTCCTTGAGATTTACGACGAGGATCGAGTGATAGTCCGAATAAGGTCTTAAGGTAAAACCTTTGGGATTTAAAAAAAATACATACATACAATATTAATTGATCGGTAATAAAAGTAATACCTAATCTGCTAGAAGGTTATAAAATTAATAAACTAGCTTTCCCTAAATAAAAATATGTATGACATTTTTTACTTCGTAAAATCAAAGTTTAACGAATATCACTTTAAAATATGTAAAATGAGTTTAAAATAATACTTTTGGAGTTGGAAATGATACTCTATGAGGTAGTATGTTTAATATTTGTATTATATAAATGGTGATCTAGTGTTGTCAGAAACCTCAATTTAGATGCTTTAAAATGCTCTTAAAAGAGTGTTAAATCAAAGTTTTCGCCAAAAAAATGTTACCTTAGCCTAAAGATCTCCTATATAGATGACAGAAAAGCGTGTCCCTCTTTTGACCAAATCTACAATTTTGATTTAGCAGTTTTTTAAACTTACTAAATCGAGGCTCTTGATAACACGAAATGAAATCAATCCTTAACACATTAAAAAGATGAGAAAAAAACTAAAAACTTGAATTTTTGAGTATATTTTAAGGTTTGAATTTAAAACTTCAAAATATCGCTATTCCCGAACATTCTGTCCCTCGAGGTATTATTACCATCCTTTTTTTCATTGAAACTTCGTTGTCTCCTAGGTATAGTACCCAATGGATTCGAATCGCCATTAGTACGGTAAGTCGCTAGAGTTGAAGCGATCGGCTTTACTAGCAAGCCAAAGCACCTCCTTGTGTATAAATTGCAGGCTAAGAAAATAACGGATATGGACATTAAAAGAGTTGTGGAATAAATGATCGCTACGAATGCTGGAGCATTGAAGGGTTTAGAAGACTGTTTTTGAAGTTGATAGAATATTTGAGTAGCACTCGGCCATGAAACGCATATGCCCAGAGTCACGAATATGCCCATAAGCCTTTTTCTAAGTGACGTCCCCATTTCTGACCCCGAGTCATAGTTGTCCATTTCAAGTTTTAGTTAATGGATGAAGACATCGATACTTTTTATTTATTTATCTGCTTCGAGAAATTTTTTTTTCAAGAGAAAAAATTATTTTTAAGGAAAGGTTGTTTACAACTCATATATGAGATAAAATCATTTTTTTTTGAAATATAAATTTAAAAAAAGTATTTGTTATTTTATTAATATTTTTAAAATATTTCATATTATTTTTAAAAATATTAAATTCGATTCCATTAATTATTAATATTCTATTCAGTGAAAAATATTATATTATTCGTAAATTCCTTATCACAGAGAAATATCAAGTCAGCTTAAATATAAAAATCAATTCTAATAATAAATGTTATTGAGATATAATTTTAGACAATCTTGAAGGGAAAAAAAAACACATGATAATTAGATTATTTTTATACGATAAGAAGCATAATATATTATTATATTAAATTAATTATAAATTCTAATCTTATTTTAAAATATGGTAAAAGACAACACATAAATTAACTAATAATATGATGATAATATTTTGGCACAGAGGTAGCCTAGATAGCTCATATTATTTAGGCAGGCCAAATTTAAAAAAATAGAGAAAATATTCAGGCTTAGTTAAATAAATTTAGGTGGCTCTGCGGTTTAAAACGAGGGAGCCTAATTCGAACCCGGGACTTTTTTTCCCCAAACAAAAATATTTGGATTAATAAATTCAACCAAACACGATTTTACACCTGAATTCGGATCCAGACTGAGTTCAGAAATTTTAGTGATATGACTGATTTCTAGTAAAAAAAAAGAAAAGATTAAATGTCATCAATAATTTTTTGTTTTCACTGCTAAATCTAAGTATCATAACTTTAATACCATTTTTCATTTGTGTTCTTCCGCTCCATGTTGACGAAAATACCACAATTTTCATAGATTTATTAATATTACCTTATAGAGCATAATTTACACAAATAATGTAACTATAATGTAATTATTAGATTTGAGTAACTGTAGCTTATTACATTCTAGTTATATTATGGACAAAATAAATTTTTAATAACACTAATTCAAACCTATATTGAATTATCTTATGATAATCTAGAATTATTTAAATTTAATAAAAACTTTTTAAAAGCCTTTACGAATATGCAGAAAATAAATATCTATAAGAACTTTCGCCAATAAAAATCTTTAATTTATTTTATAATATATTCGCTTAGTTTTACTAAGATTACTCTTACCGGATTTTTAATCAACAAATTATCATAATTTTCATTATTATTAATTAGTGGCACAGCATCGAAATTATATCAAGCTTAAAGTATTCCTTAGTAGAAAAAAGTTTTCATGATTAAAATTATGTCACTAGATTTTTATATAAAATGACTTTAATGTGATTAAATGATAAGATAATTCTTAGTGTTAATTTTTATAAATCAATTCATTTTTTTATTCTAAATGTTAATCCAAGCCCTTAAAAATTAATCAATAATTTATAATTTAAATTATTTATTTCTAACCTTTTGGAATATCTTTTAGGCCTCTAATTTAAATATGTTTAATGACGGATATAAAAAAAAATTGGCCAGAAATTTTAATTTTTCTCATTTATTGTTTTATTTCAAGTAAATTTTTATTTTAGAAACAAAGCAAAATTTAAAATTTTTTATTAAATAATTTTTTTTGTTGAAAAATTATGCTAGTTTTATTTTATGTTTATGATAATGCAGATAGCTTGAGGGGTTTTTTTAAGGTATGTAATATTAAAATAATATTATTTTTAAAAAAAATTAGATTTATTATCAAATAATGATTAAGATTCATGTTTATTTTAAAAAAATCTATTTAAGAGCTACACTGATTCTTGATGGCTAGCGCAAAGAAGGGAAAAGGGAGAAATAATCGTTTTTTTACGTTAGAGCTAAATATCAATTTGATCCGAAAAAAGTACTTATTTTCTCTTATGCTCAAATTTGGGAATTAATCAATTTTTACTAAGAGTTAAAATTAGAGTAATAAGAATTTTCTTTCCCCAATCTAAGATTTAGTAGGAAATAAAAATTAATGCAGTTTTTATTTCGTTGGATATAACAAACTGAATATATTTATCTAAAATTAATTAGAGAAATAAAAAATTATATATATATATTAAAAATAAAAATCTCTAAACCTTTGAATATATTTATCTAAAATTAATGTATAAAATATTCATTCTCCTCAGGTATTAGCTAAGAAATTTTAAATAATTTAAAATTGTAAAAGCGTATCCCGTTTAATCAAAAAGGCCTTCGAAATTGTTATTGTAAAAATCTATTTTGGCTGATATAAGTTGAGAAGATATTTTACCTCTTTTCCAAATGAGCAGTTTGTTGAAACCACAGAGGCATGAATATATATTCGCAACTATGAACGATTATTTTTTTCTTTTTTCAGCAATTCTTAATAGATGATAATTGCTATTTATTTTTATCATCATTTATGATTTCAAATAAATTTATTTCAGTTTTTTTGTTCTTACTAAATTCTTACATTCTTTTTATTAAGGGTTCAACGATTTAAATCGAACTGCATATAATATAAAGTATTATTCATTATATACCACTACTTTTTTTAAAATATAAGATGCTTTTATTATCTAATATAATAAATATAAATACATTAATTTTTTTTAAGAATAACTTGATAAATATTTCATTAAATCTTCCATAACAATAATGTATACACCTCTTTAAAATGTTATAAATAAGTAATTATTGGCAATTAATATAAAAATCAATAAAATATATAAAAGTAGAGTATTAATACTGCTTCACAGTATGAAGATGATGATCGATGTTGTAAAGGCATTAATAAATAAACTAAATATTTTTAAAAGTTTTTATATTTGGATTAATTTTCTAAATTAAAAATGATACTGGGAAAGTTGATTTTCGATTAAAAATAGAACAATTTTAATTTACTTATTGAGATAATAAATTGTCAAAAGCGTTTGGAATAAAAAAATATGGACTAAATATACTCAGCCATGCTCAAATAGAATATATTAGGTTATCAATAATTTGAATGCCAACGAGATAAGTCATGATTTAAAATATAAATATATAAAAGGGCATTTTAAATTATTCTCAAATTATCTTTCGCATAGAAAATATCCATATAATGATTACTGAATGGGGTAGTTGGAACCGAGCGAAAGTGATCAAGATATCTAGGTGACCTAGATGTTTCCCTGTAAGAATAAGGATTTTTTTTAAAAAAATTTAATTTTTTAAAAAATGCCGAATTTTAGTTTTAAATTTAATAAAATTTAAAGTTTTTTTATAAACGATCTCGATACGATATATAATAAATTAATTGTTTATTGAGTTTTAATCTAAATAATAGATTTTTTTTTGAATTTCACCTAGAATTTCATTCTTATAGTAATAAAAATATTGGGAATCGAATTTATATCGATACATAATAATTTTTATTTTACATTTATAATAATATTTTCGGTAATTTTCTTATATGAAATTAGCATGCAAAGCTATGTCAATGGAAATGCATATTAAAATTGTCAATAAATATTGATAGTAGTTAGGAAAAATTACAACATTGAAGGATGTGGTATTTAAGAAATAGCATGAAATACTAATATAATTATGTCCACTCATAAAACTTTAATATTAAGCAGGTACAGGGTTAAAAAATCAAGGGAATTGATTTTTTATACTAAACTTTTTTTTAACAAAAAAATATGTTATTATAATATATCATTTTATATATTAAAAAATAATAATTACATTAAAACTTTGGCCTCACTAAGCACTGAAACTATACCTATTTCTCAGCCAGCCAGGGTCCCGCCTATTAATGAAAATTCTGATTAGGTATTTTTTATTTTTGAAAATATGTTATTTTTATATCAATCATAGCAATCAGTTTGATAAATAATTAAAAGCAGGAAGAATTATTGGATAAATAATGAAAAAATTGCCATAAATATCTATTTTACCATAATATTTAGTGCCTTATTTAATAATTTTCCAATTAACTTCAACAACCACTAAAAATAACCGTAAGCTAAATAAAAATATCACCACAGCCTAGGAGTGAAGTCAGCTAAGCTTCTGGTAGCATTAACTCTTATTAAACTTATACCAATAATTCTTCAACCTGTTTGGTAGATTGTTGAAAGAAAAAGGCATACAGTTTTTCTAGGCAATAAACAGAAACCAGTTATAAACAAAATCAAAGCTGTTTAAATATCATATTTCGAATTGTTATTTAAAAATTTACATCCAAATATACGGTATAATGTCCTTCCCCGATTCAAAATATTTTTTAAGGTATGATTTTACGATATATATTTTGTTTTTTTCTCCTTAAAATGTAGAGGCGAAATAGCTAAGATCTCAATATATATTATCGAGTTAAATTTTCAAAATTTTAAGCATGAAGTTTAAAAACTTTTGAAAAAATTGATTATAAACTTTAGCAAATATTAAATTCTTGTGTTGATTCGTTTTTAACATATTTTCGCGTTTATTTAAATGAATAAATGTAAGAGGGGGTTTTATTAATTTTCAAGGAAATGAAAGCAAATTTTGGTCTATAGAAAAATTTTTGTATCGTGTGCCGCATGATATATTTTTTTTTGTGTTTTGATGTTTTGTCGCGTGACTTTTTGCTAAATTTTGCTTAAGCTTAAAATCTGTATGCTCAATTTAACAAGCTGATTGCTCAATATATACTTTATATATAAATATTACCTTATGATTCTTTCACATTTTAGAAAATACGATAGTTATAATACTACTATGTATTACAAATGCACCAAGCTATCATGTGCAGGTAAAGGGATATTTAAAAACAATATCTTTCATGTATCCAAACAATGCACTGGTATATTTTTTATTAATCTTATATAAAATAATCATATTATAGCTCCTGCCTGCTTAGAAATAACAAGACTAAGCTTACAAGTTGTATCTATAGACACACAAAGTAAAATATAATTCTAATTTTATAATGTATAAAAATCAATTTTATAGCTGATCCCATATGTGTACATGGTGTAGAAGTAGCCACACAAAGTAAAATATAATTCTAATTTTATAATTTATAAAAATCAATTTTATGATATTAATTTAATATTAAATACTTAAATAGAAAAAACTATCTAATCTGTAAAAGTCAAATTTTTGAAATTTTTTTAAATTTCTCGCTTCAAACTTATAGGGGCCATTTTGACAGCCATTTTAGCTTATTTGTCTTTTTGATATTTTTAAGAGTATATAAAGCGGACCCGAACCAAAATTTTACCTATTCATATCAAATAATGCTTATCTTTTAGTATATATTATTTCTTTATCAAGATAAAACATATAATTTAATTTTATAAGTGAATGATAAAGGAAAGCTGAGAAATATTTTCCCTCTAGCTATTTTTGGCGAAATTCTTGATACTAATAAAATAATTTTTATTTTAACGTTATGATTAATTTATTAAAACTTTTATATATAATATCTATAAAAAAATAATAATATAAACTTTAAAATAATTTTTTAAGAAAAACATTTGGGTTCCTAAAAAGTAAATTTAAAAATATTGATTTGTATATTTATTTTGTCTAAGAAATAGGAATTCCCTAGGTTCCAGTGTATGCGATTTAATTTTGTGAGCTAAATTTTTTTAAAAACTAGAAGCTATAGGAGCGAACTGTTCATTGGTAGATGTTACTGTTGGTGAAATATGGAATTGCTAAGGCTTTTAAATTTTTTTAGTCTCTGAAGTAAGCAGATTAGCTATTAATATAAGTGGGGAAAATGAGACACATGTACAATCCCAAATAAGAGATTTGCCCATGGCCTAGGGAATAATGGTCAGAAGGGTCTTAGGCCATTATATGATAAGAGGTTATGGTTCTAGAATTTTGAGTATAGCCTTTTTTAATAGATTTAAATATTTTTATTTTGATTGGTGACGCTGATGTCGACCTTGAATTTTGATGCAATTGAGACCATGCTTCCCTTAGCATTTACCAAGAAATTTATTTTTAAAGAGAAGATTTTTAAGAACAGAGATTTTTGGCATAATTTGACTTAAAAATGCCAAAATCTTTTGTAATATTCATGCAAAAAAATACTTTCAAGATGAAATCAAATATTTTTTTAGAATTTACAACGTAAAATAATCTATAGAATGAATACAATATTTGAATTACTCTCGATTATTTATATTTTCTAATGTCAAAGAAAGATATAATAATAAATTAAATAGTCTTTATTAAATTTGATTTATATTCTACATATAACAGTTTTATAAGATACGTTATCGGATACGGGTGGATAACAAAAACAAATTAGGTTGCGGCATTGGTGGAAAAGTTATTGGATGTATTATATCTCTAATTTTTATTTCTATACGTTCTCCCCCCCCCCTACTTTTTTATAGCGGCCACAAAAATTTAATTATTAAAAATAATGGAAAAGCATCAGGTAACATGTTTAATGATTATAATTCCAACTCAAGGAAATTGCCGTTACAATAGCTGATTTATTTAAATTTCTATTCGTCTATTTATAATCGAATGACTGTCAAGTTTAACAGGCTATTAATAAAAAGTATCAAATTTTATTCTAAACCCTAGCATATATCTCTCAAACTTTAATAAATTACCTTGATAACCCATATCGCTTTAACCTTTAATTCTACTCCTTACTTCAGATACTTGTTTAATATTAAATATATTAAATAATTTCTTCAGTTAAACATTCCTTAAACTGTTAATTGATCTAATTCAATGTTCAATATGGTATAGACAACTTTTGAGAAATATATTTTCATGTGCCCTTGGTCTCCTACACGATTTCTTTTATAATCTATAAAAATACAATATATCTTCGAATATGAGAATTTTATTTTAAATTTAATATTCACATATTAAAATTGACTACATAATAATAAATTTACAACGATTTTTAAATTGCTGCGATTTACAAAATAATATCAGTAATTATAATAACATTTCATTCCATAGTCGGATTAACGTGGATTCCGGATAAAATGTAACCATACCTACCATCCATATTGATAACAGGGTGCGTTCGGTCAGGCAAAACCTAAGATATCAACATATTATTATAATAATATACTTTATTAAAAGATTTGGTAAAACAAATAGATATTCAAAAAATCTAATTTTGTTAAAATAAAAAAAGGTATACCACTAATTTATTTTAAATAAGAATCCAATCTTTTGTTTTTGCTGCTTAAGTGCTAGCTTATTTTTACACTATCAAATTCGTTTCATAATTTTTTTTTTTAAACTCCGATTTTCTTGATTTTATCCTAACCGACATAGATGGGTTTATATAATATTTTGATAAATTTAAACCAAAATTTTTCCAAATAGTTCGAGTTTACATGGAGTTTTAAAACTGGTTAAGTTTTAGGTACATAAAAAATTTCTCCTGGACCCGGTACACAACTCGGGTTCCGATTCGGTTCAAAGCCATGGTAAATATTTATATCAGGCTTAAAATTATTTTTTATAGTATGAATATTTATCGACCTAGATAACGCTGAGCAAAAAAACGATTAGTATTTTACGAATACCATAATACAATTTAAAAAATACTTGTCGGAAAATAGCCTTTTCTTCATTTAATTAAATATATCTAAATATTCTAAATTATTTGTTTATAAGCTTAGTTATAAATAGAAATGAAGATAGCTTTTAATTGTTTTTAGCCTGTCCAGTAAATTAAAATAGAGATGTACCAATATTAAATATAGGATCGGCGTCGACATTTTATAAAAAACCAATCAAATATTACAATTGTTTTTGGATGCTTGTAATTATATAATATTTTTTATTTTATACATAATTTCCTAATAATAAATGAATAAATGAGAACCAAAAATTTCAATTTATTTGTAACGGATGTTTAAAAAAATTAAAAAAAGATTATATTGTTTTAAAAAGAAAAAATAGTTAGTTAAAAAATAAAAAAAATATATAATTCTTTTGTTATATAATATGCAACAAGGTATGGATTTGAGCCTATTTAACGCGTCAAATATATTTTAAATAAAAAGGTTTTTCTTTGGTGGAATTAGAGAAAACATTCGCAACTCCATCACGAAAGCAACACAAAGACATACTAAGTAATCTTTTGTTAGTTGCCGTAGTCTCAGACACCTATGGATAGTTTGGACCCGAAGCCTTAAAATTATTCAAAACAATAGGGCACAGGTTTAATCACAGGTGATATAAAAGAAGCTTTTACCTATAACAAAAAAATATATATCGAAATTTGCCGACCAAACTGTATATCTATACATGGGTCATTATGCCCGCACTATTTTTTAAAGTTTTCTATTCTTTTTAAATATTATTTTTTCTTTTAGATATATATTTTTACAATAGATATGTTATCAAAAATTTATCTTATTGTTTAATAGTGAATATAAAAATAAAAAATTTATTATTGAAAAATTATCATGTTTTATTTTGGTTTCCAGCTCAAATAATAATATTTTTATAAAAAAAACCAAAGTTTGGAATGCTAAAAAGGATTAAGATTTCTCAACTTTTTTTCTTCAAAATGGTTAAAATTCCTCATATTTTTGAAACGAGGTTCCGATATTTAAATTTGACCTGGTTCCTAGTATTAGGGTTCCAAGCCCTTTTTAATAAGCAATGAATTTTGTCAGGATCGCTCTCATATCATGACTCATGAGTTATATCTACAATTTCCGATATCTCGGGTAAGGTTAACAAAATCTATCATATTATTTCAGGGTCCTAGAAGCATTAAAATGAGCCTTGGTTCTTATATATCTTAAAGGGAAGTTCTGATCATAGATTTGATCCTGCTTCGAGGATTCAGATTCCAAGCTCTAAAATCAACTAAAACTTTTCATTTTGAAAGGTAAATTTTATTTAATTTTTCTATAGTCAAAAATATCGATTTAGCTCTTTTGGAGAAATCCCAAGGTTTAGATAATATTTTTTGGCTAAAATCTTGATTGTCTTCTTTTTCTATAAAAATTGTTATAGAATAAGCCTAAATGAGATTGAATTTAGAAATTTTATTTTATTAACAAAAAGGAATAAAATATCGATTTTTTTAAAAAAAAATTAAATGGATATAATGACGGACGAGTTAGATAAAATGAAATTGTATATTTTTTTGCCGTGTTACTAATAATAATGCAATAATGAGATGGAAGAAAAATAAGTAATAATATTAAATTGATATTGGTGTATATGATGTCCACATAAGCTTTGATATAATACTAAAAATTTGAAGGTCATAATTCATTATAAATTCGTGAATAAGTAAGGAATATAAATTTTTTTTAAAAAAAATTTACTTATATAAACCGATAACTTAGTTAGTATAATGGGGAAAAAAATGGAAATGTTGGAGATTAATATTCATATAATATTAATATATCAACCTTCACTGCAAATATTTTGTAAGGTTTAAAACTTCTATCAAGGTTGACGATGTCAGTTAAGAAATAAGAAAATTATTTAAAATTCTATCATAAGTCCTTTCCAGATAGACGTTTTTTAAAAGGATTTCCTCTAGCATTTTTTTTTATCTTTAAACAAATTAATTTTTTATTAACGATTAAATGGTCTTTGTGATGCCGGTAATTCTACAAATTATAAAACGGGCATTGGAAATCTCTTTGAAAACTGTTTTGTTTAGAAATAGGTTTAAATAATTCAAGCTAAAAATATCTTGCCCCCTCCTCTCCAAAAGCCCATCATTAGACAAGGGTTACCCTAGAGAACTGCACGGGCTGTCCGTAGCCCGACCCGACCCGGCCAGAGCCTCGGGCTCGGGTCGGGTTCGGACATCAAAAAAAAAATTCCTCGGGTTCGGGCTCGGGTCGGGTTGTAAAAGCTGTCCGACCCGACCCGACCCGAAAATATATATAATAATATTAATATCTTAAATAGTTAGTATAATTTATAATATTAATTATAAAATCATATTATTTAATATTTATCACATTTTAGGATTAAAATGTCAATCATATTAACATGTCATGATTAATTATTATTTTATAAACCTAACAACCGGATACCAAACTATTTTATTACTAAATTGTGTTTCTCGTAAATTACAAGATAAGACATATTTTATGTAAGTTTTATTTATTATTTAACAAGCCTATACATTGTCTTTTTTAACATTTGTTTTAACCCTTCACTACAAAGGTAGAAAAAACTCCCTTAACTACAAAGGTGGGGTCTATTTTACCCCAAATTTTGATTAGATATATCTCAAAACATATTAAAAATTGAGATCTAAAATTTTGAGTATATATTTAAAAAATATTGGAGATAATAAATACAAAATCTTAGATTAATATTTACTTCCAAAAAAAAGTTAGACAAATTTTCCTAAAATTACTGAAATAAAATTTTCTTTTTCAGTACTTCCTTTAATTATTTTATTATCACTAAATAAAATTCAAATTTTATTAAATCAATGTTGAATAATGATAATTACATAAATTTTATAAAAAAATATCATATATCAAAAAAAATATTAATCATCAAATATGTAAAATTATTAAAAAATAATAATGTAAATATATATCTTAATATTATTATTGAATATTTTTTTCTTAAGAAACTACAGAGGTGGTAAATACCTTTTTGGACTTCTCTTTATGGGAGGCTGACAATGCGTATTCTGATGCTAGCGCCGAAGTTGACGAGCTAAAAAAATATCTAGATCCGAAATTATGTGTTGATGACGATAATATTTTAAAATGGTGGAAAACAAACCATTATGAGTTTCCAAATTTAAGTATTTTAGCTCTTAAATTCCTGGCTATCCCTGCTTCGTCGGCTAGCAGTGAAAGGGCGTTTTCAGCTGCTGGTAGGGCCTTTGAGGAGAGAAGGACTCGTTTAAAGCCAGATAAACTGGACGCCTCTTTATTTATATATCATAATTATTCACTTTGTGATAATTTTGATAATGATATTGATGAGGTCAATATATAATATAATATGTTCATTATATTTTTTATATATTTATTAACTTTTACATCATATCTATATTCGCATAAATGATGCTTATTATATAATCGTTATAATTTTTAAATTCGCTTGTATATTAATCGTTTTATAATATTTTTTACAAATTTTAAAAATGCAACTTAATATATATCTTGAATAGATTATGGCCGTCAAATAAACTTTTATTTAAGGTGGCTGAACTGAATAAATACACATAAATTTTTTTTTGGTTATTATAATATTAAAACTTAAATTGCAAAATTTTATTCGGGTCGGGCTCGGGTCGGGTTGGATTAAAAAATGTGTGCTCGGGCTCGGGTCGGGCTCGGACAAAAAAAATTTTAAATTCGGGCTCGGGTCGGGCTCGGGTTGCGAAAAAATTACTTTGCAGTTCTCTAGGTTACCCAGACTTTTAATGGAGGTGAAAATGATCACATCCCATTCCGAGAGGATAAGAGTAAAAAGAACTATATACTACTGGTTGGAAAAGATCAGCTATCTAAATTTTATATGATAAAATGTGTTTTTTAGGTAAAAAAAACAAAATATTTTTACGTCACAATATTTGATGGCATTAAAATATGAAGAGTTTAAAAATAATAAATATTATATATTTAAAACGATTTAAAATAATTATATATACGCCTGATGATTTTGCTATGGAGAAAAGATTTGGGCTTCTACTTGCCAAATCTTGAGGCTTACACAATATTATTTTGGCTAAAATCTTAATCGGGCCATTTTTTAAGATCGACCCAAATCGGGTTGTTTGACAACCCTATATTAGAAATATTAAGCTTATATAGATTAAACGCCATCTATAATATAAATATTTTTTCCTTAACCATACTATTAAGAATATTAGGATAAACGCCATATTTTTTTAAAATATATTATATTTATTTTTTATTTTAATAGCTAAATGACGATTTCAAATATTTAGTTATTAGACTTGCCCTAAAAATAAGTTAAACAGTTAGGCTTAGTAGAAAAATTGGCGAAAATTATAGGCATTGGAATGACAGCTCACTTATATAAGTTAGCCAGGATGTAGGACTTCGTTGTGTGAAGGTGGGGGAGTTCTAAAATACTAAATAAGATAATCGGAGAAAAGACAGCCTTAATATGTTTTAATCAGAGATGCATCCAAATTCACAATTTCCACAAAATAGGCCTACAAATTTCTAGTAATAATAAAAGTAAAATATTAGACACCATCATGAGGAAGCCTAATACTCTACTTTTAAATAATATTCATCATAAACCTGATTTAACTAGTTTCTTTTAAATTTAATAATTTGTTTGCTAAATTAATTTTATTATGAAGAATAAATATACAATACAATATATTGATAGACATTTTTATGGCTTAAAATTTAAAAAATATTTTTGTAGAAATAAATGGAGACTAAAAAAAATTATATATTAAATTTGTACCAGTTGCCTTTCATGTTTTAATCGAAAATTTAAAAATGTCAATTTAAAAAAAAAAAATTAAATCCGATTTTCTTTAAAAAGGGGAATTTTATATGACCAAACTTTATAGTTGGATATTATTTTCCAACCAATGATTTATGAATAGAAATTATATATAATTTTATGATAAATTTAAAGCATTATATTCGATTTTTATGATTATTAACTTTTTTAAATTTTCACGTTAAAGATTTGCCAAAATTTAAATCTTGATTTATGACCGTTAGAAATACTAAAGTAATAAAATTATTTTAAAAAAGGTGCATTTGATTAATTTAATAAAATTTATGTAATATAAATTTTTTTTTAATATATATAACTTACTGACGATTAGGGATAGGCAAAGCGCAGCCGGTTATAAATTTTTGCACAATTTGCCTGGCCCGTTAAAATTTTACGAAAAATCAGGTCCGACCCATTATAATTTTAGGAATAGAGTCCGTCATTTTTAATATATGTCTAACTTTTAGTGTTGTTAAACGGTTCGATTTGAGCCGATTTTTGAAAACGGCTAACTCAACATTATAGCCAGGAAAATATTGCCTAAGCATCGAGATCTTGCTAATAGATGTTCAATCCTATATGCCATCTATGAGCAAAATATTTAGGCTTGCATAATATTTTTCTGGATAAAATATTGAGTTAGCTGTTTTTAAAAATGGGCTCAAATTGAGCCGTTTAACAACACTACTAACTTTTCTCAAATGGCAATTGGTCACTCGCCCAGTTTCTAAATTAGGCGGTTTAGGCTTTTTGCCTCTCAATATTTTATCCTCATCATCATTATTTTTATCCAGATTAACAAACAATTTTATTATCTCAAACTTCATATGTCCCACCGATCATTTATTAGCTGACGCAAATAACAAATGGGGGCTAATATACCCATTAATACTCATTTGCCATCAATCATCATATACAAAAAAAATTTCACACCTTAAATTTTAAATACCAAACCGTTAGTCAATCCAATTTAGATTGCGTTTACGTCTAAGTTGAGACATCATACAGCCCTTGAATCAAATGCATCACCCGTCGATTCAAAAGGTAGGCCTTAATTGTATTTTTAGTCAAGGGTGCCACATAGCGATGAACCCTGTAATAAGTGTTAACAGCCGCCCACATTCCGAACCATCTTGAACCCACAAATTTATCTCAAGTAGGGCTTAAAACATAATGGTATGACAACCATATCCTGGGCCCTAGGAAAATCATTAATATGGACATGTGTGTCTCTTCATTCTTCGACATAAATATCAACTAACACAAGCTCAAACAAAAAAGATAAACAAATACAAAAATTTCAACAACTTCTTATTTACTCATAGTGACTTCCGCCATTTAACATATAAATTTTTTCAAAATCTACAATACAAACAAAGTTAACGTATTTTTATATATGCGTCAAAAAAATCAGATAGAAATTTTTAGATATATGGTTCCTTTTTGGGAACACAATTATGAAATTGTATTTTTAATTTTATAGTGTTTTAATATTAGTGTTTTAAATATGATACTAAATTAAAAAGGAATTTAAATATTAATTAAAAATTAAGGCTCGTATATTTCTCTATAGCTAATCGAATTAATTTGATTTTTATATCTATACCATTTAATATAATTAATGATTAAACAAGGAAGTGGATCTATTAGTGTGAGGGCTGCAATGGTGTGGAATGCTTTAAAAACTTGATGATAGATTGAATCAGTATACTTATAGTGGTGTAGTCAGGATGTATAGTGAGGCAGAAAATGGATTACTGTGGGCTTCTATCCTAAATCCCCATTTTAGGGCTTTAAAAAAATTTCGCTATTTTTGATTTTCGCGTAATTATTTTTATTTTGCTTCTTTAAAATATGTATTATCTTTATATCATCTGAACAATTGGAACCACTAAAATCTATGCCAAAGTTTAGTGCTTCAAATAATATACAGTATAAATAACAACAATATTTTGGTCATTATGGCTTAATTATATACTAATTTAGTCCATCAAATAAGATAAAATTGTAAAAATTGGCATCATGCTAAAATTGAAATATAGGTGTAAATATCTGTTTGCGTTAATTAAATTTCTAAGTACTTATTAATTCAATAAGTTTTACGAATCACAAAAGAGAAACTAAGTAAAAAAAATGAAAAGATGTCATGCTTTAAGTGTGAAGTGAGCCAAGAATAATTCTGAAATTTATAACAAATCATAATTAGTATTTGTTTGATAGAAAAATTATTGGTAAAAAAAAAATTGGAAAAATTATATCATGCCAAACCAAATAAAAATTATGGCTTGAAGTCAGCTAAATTTCTGCAAGTATTAATTCTGTAAATTATCTAAATTAGTGGGTATTTATTACTTCAATTTTGTAGAAAATTTAAAGAAAAATGTATTGTTAGCAAAATAAGAAAAAATAGCTAAGATTGGTGTAAATACTGATATGAGCTAATATTCTAACCTGTGAATCGATAAGAGCCTCGTGATTTTGTGCTTATAAATTAATAGTTATTACAAGTATATTGCTAAATTCTAATTATATCTGATTTGTTTTAAAGATTATATCAATCAATTTTAATTATAAGTGCACAATTTTTATAAACTTTTCAATTTATAACATATTAATTTTTTTTCTTCTTTTTTTGAATCCAATATATAAATTATATCATATAGTATTATAAATGACAAATCGAAATGTAGTATTTTTGTATACAAAAGTTTTCAAACCAGTTTTTAATGGTTCGAACCGAACCGATATTTTAGGACCGGATCTAAACTTTAACCGTTAGTTTTATCCGAATCTGAACCGATATTTTTCTGTTCGGATACCTGCTTATAATAATACTTCTTTTCCCCATCTTTTTAAAAATATATAATTTTTTTCAAAATTTAATATATTTTCCAATCAATAAATACAAATGGCATAATGGAATTATAACTAAAATAGATAATATTAAGAATGTACATGCTACATTGGATTCAAAACATATGGCGAGTTCCCAGATATACGCTATGCTTCTCGCTTGTGAACTGAGTTTAAAATAAGTCAATTCACAAATTTCTTAAAATTAATCACCAAAAAAACTAAATAAAATATGCTAAATTATTTCAGAAAAATAACTAAAAATAGATCAATTTTAACTAATAACTAGGTTGGGCAGTATTTAATCATATCTAATTAATTCTATGACTACAATGTATTTTTTGTGATAAGTAACTGTAATTAATTACATCTTAAAAAGAAGTTAGTAATTATAATTAATTACAATCTTTTACCTTGGACTCTGACAATAAGTCCAATAATTGCTACAATCTTACAATCAGTAAAAGATAAATCTAACAAATGTAATCCAAATTTTTTTAAAATAACAGATAAAACTACAAGCGCTGTTGGTGTACTTTGAGATCAAATCGTAAAGGACCATAATCAAGCCACCAGTAATTTCCTAAAACATATGAAAGTATATTAAATTTTAATATTTTTCCTCTACAAAAAACATTCTTCTATGTTAACACAATTTAATCATTTAAAAATTTTTTTATACGGAATAATCAAAAGCAAATATTCAACAAATTTTGCCAGAATTTATTTTCAGTTATCAAATGACTAATAATTTAATTGTAAATTTTATTATAAATCTAAAGCATTGTTCTTCTTTATCAGCACCTGAAAAAAGATTATTCCTTCCTAAATAAGTATTATAGAACACATTTAAATTACATGTTTAAAAAATAGATATTTTTAAAAAAAGTTATACGTATTTTTTAAATATTAGTTAAAAATGTATTCTATATCATTTGTTGATTAGGGTAGAAAAGAACTTCAAATAATAATGCCCATATCTATTTATATTTAGACATCATAAATAATATTTCATTTTGTAACACAGAATTTGATTGCAATTTTAATTTTATTATAAAATAAATTGTAATTATTACTCTAGAAAATCACGTTTCATGTAATTAGTAATTAATTACCGTTTTTAGAAAAGGAATTAGAATTTATAATCAATTACAAAAAATTTATAGGTAATTGTAATTTGAAATTTATTATAATAAATATGCACATGGATGATAAATAATATTAATTTTTCAATTATATTATCCAAATTTACACGTTTTTATATTATATTTGTTGTAAAATATATATTAGACTGTAGATTTTTTCCCTTTAAATTGTAATATTTGTAAAATAGATGATTTTGTGGATTTTTTCTTAAAATTATATTTCATACTAACTATTGTATACATTGATTCATTGTAAAGAAAAATTTCGATTTAAAATTTATTCCTGATTCAATTTTTTGATTTAGTGGCCAAGCTTAAAGATTAATTTTTTTTCATGAATTTATTTGAGCTTATATTTGTAACATTAACTAATAAAATACTCAAATATATTTACTAGTCTAGCATTTCTTTTTAAATGTATACATATTTCAACAATATTGAATATATAAGATTTTATCAATAAAATATTTAAAAAGAAAAAATAATGTTCCGTTTTTTTCTAGTCCAAGCAAGCCAAAAGAGGAAGGCATTCATTTTATAAAACTGCACATCAAAGAGTTGATTAAAATTTGAATTATTCCTCTATTATTACCAACAAAATTTCTATTTAGAATCGCCACTAATCAAGATTTTAGACATCATTTGATATGGCTAAAACAGTATTTTACTGAACATTTTAGATAGATTTGATGTTTAATTACCGTGATTTTTTTAAAAATATATCCAAATGATTTTGTGATTGAGAATTAGCATCTAAAAGATTCCTTGAGATTGATATTTTTAACTTTTTTTGGTAAATCATTTTATCCATTCATTTCGGATTTCTTCACAAATTTTACATATTGGTCATTGACTTAAATATGGTTGGATACTTTCTGTTAGCAGAGTTAGGCAGGTCCTCCAGAAAAAGAATCTTGTACAGATACAGATTCTTTATAAAAAAATGAATCTAAGATACAGATACTAGTATCTTTTTCAAAATATCAAAAAGATACAAGATAAAAGATACTTGTATCTTTTACTAAATTAGAGTATCTTAAATACAAGATATTTTTAAATTATCATTATCAATTAAATTAGATTAGTTTATAAAATACAGTTTTTATTATTTATTTGTGAAGAACATAGCATACACATATAAGAATGAATATTTGCAATAATTAATAAAATATTTATTAATGAATTAATTATAATAACCAGGGATTTTAATATTAGTTTTTGCCCATTAATAGCTTAAACAGGGAAGGGAGAGCAATATATTTAATGGGAGTTGAAAATTTGCAAATAAAAAAAAAAATTAAATCAAATGATTTCTTAGAATTTGCAGGTTATTTTCTGTGTTGTTTTAAATATAGCTTATATTCGGAGTATATGGCTAAATAGCATCTCTAAAAAAAATATACTAGTTATATTTTATTCATTATCTTTAATAAATATTTATCCTTACTTGATTGTGATATTTATGTATTTTTAAAATTAGTTTATTTTCTAATATGACTTATTTTGTCAAGTCATGATTATCAAAAATATAGATTATTAATAAATATTTATTTATTTTACAAAATGCGCAAGATATAAAAGACATAAAAAAGGAAAAATTTATTATTATTTTTATTTTTTGGTTTAAAAGACACACGCGTATTTTTATTTTAATATATTATTGTGCTTTAAAAAATTGGAAATTATTATATTTCTTTTTGCCCGATCTATACTAATTTGTATTTGAAAATAGTTGTAAAAAAATTATTATTAATAAATAAATTATTTAGTCTTTAAATTTTGTGTCGTTTTACCTAAGTCCTCATAAGTGAGGCAGTTGAATATATATAAAAAAAAGGATACCTAAGTCCTCTTAAGTGAGGCAGTTGAATATATATAAAAAAAAGGATACCTAAGTCCTCTTAATTGAGGCAGTTAAATATAAAAAAAAAGGATACCTAAGTCCTCTTAAGTGAGGCAGTTGAATATAAAAAAAAAGAATACCTAAGTCCTCTTAAGTGAGGCAGTTGAATATATAAAAAAAAATACCTAAGTCCTCTTAAGTGAGGCGGTTGAATATAAAAAGGGGATTACCAAAGTTTCCTATCAATAAGCGATTTTCACAATAAGGTCTAATAAGAGCTTTGTAGCCCGGAAGTGCTGCCCGTTTTTTGTGAGATTTTCACAAGTTATAGTAAGCTCTGTCGCACATAAGTACTGCCGAACTTTTTTTTACAACTACCTTATATTATAATTAATTTATTAAGAGCCTTTTAAAATTATCTAATGTTATATATCAACTGTAGCTTAAATATTTCCTCTAATAAGAATTTGCTAAAATAATTATATATAAAATATATTAGGGATGTGCCGATATTTTAATCGGATCGGGCCGACTTCACCCATTTTAAAATATCGGTTATCGGCCAATATTATAAAATTTGATCCAATATAAAATGGCTTCTTTAACAAAAATAAAATGTTATAAATTTTTTAAAAAAAGTTATATCTAAGATCATTTATTTTTATAAATAAAATCGAAATCCATTTTTATGTATATTTTTTTAATAATAATAATTAATTAATAAACATTCTGCCATCATTCTGTTTATAAAAGTGTGCCATATTCTCTTCAGAATCTATTTTTAGTGAAGCTGGTGATATTGACAGTTACTATCGCTGCAAGCTAACCTCTGATAAATTGGAAATAATGGTATTTCTAAAAAGAAATCTTGGATATATTAATGTTAAATATTTATTTCAAATTTCATAATATAATTGTTTATTACTTATTATGTATATAGATTAATGTTATTACTTATTATATAAAAGTGAAATGTTATTACTTATTATATAAAAGTGATTTAACAATAAAAATATTTTATATACTTTTAGAATTGCAATTGAATTGAATATAAACTATAACTGATCAATAAAAAGTATATTAAAAATTAAAACCATTGGTATCTTTACAGAATACAAAATTAGATATGATATCGGATCGGTAATCGACCGATATCAGTTTAATATTGGGAATATCGGATCGGCCTCCAAAAAGGGTTATCGATATATCTCTAAAAAATATATATCCAAAATTATTTTAATTTGATATTCAACCATTTTATAAAAAAATTTAATAATAATTATCTTAGAGGGACTTAAGTATTGGTATTATTATGTTAATAATTATAAAATAAAAATGTATAATATACTTTAATATGTTTAATTAAGAAAGTTTGTAGAGGAGTTTGTTGAACCTTTAATAAATTTTTAATTGTGCAATTTTGACATTCAGCTTGTACCTTGTTCTTTTTCACATGAATTACTTTATAAAATTTTCCATCTAGAATTTTAAGATTCGGATTTGATTCAGGAGAACCTATCTCCATAATTTCATCTTCACTACTATCATTGTTAAACATTCTACAAATTAAAAAATATTACATATAAAATATATCCTTCTCTTATTTAGAGTTTTGGTGTTGTTATTTTTAATCTATCTATCTTTGTGACCTGTAAAATTTCCAACTAATTTTGGTTATCAATATATTTAAAATATAGCGGGAAAAATAAAGAAAATAATACAAGATTTCACGAAGAAAATAAAGTTACATTGTGTGATATGTAAATGTTTAAACATGAATATTAAAAAGAATCTGTATCTGTATCTTTTTAAAGAAAAAGAAAAAGATACAAGATTCTTTTCAAAATAAAAGATCTTAGATACAGATACTAGTATCTTATTAAAAATATCAATAAGATACTGAGTATAAGATACAAAAGAATCTTGTATCTTAGATACATGTATTCGCGGTACTGTCCAACTCTGTCTGTTAGTGGATTCTATCTTATCTCACTAGAATCCTCCTTAATAGAGAAATTAAATATTTGTTCTTTTACGTTTACCTCTAAATCATTTGCAGATTAAATATATGATACGAGAAGCCTATCAATGGTTAAAATATTTTCTTAAATATAAACTTATACTAATAGAATTCCAGATCTTAACATGTTCTACATTATCCATAACTATGCTTGTACAATTAAAAATATTTTTGTATTTTATAGTTATCTTTTTCAAAGGGTAACTTTGATTTTCTAATATTTGTAAATTGTTTTAAAATGTACTTCTTCATGTATTTAAATTAGGGATGTGCTGATATTAAATATATGATCGATAAAAACCGGATCGAGTCGATTTTCAAAAAAATTATCCAATCCAATAGCTTTTTCTTTATTTTACGACTGTATATATTTAATATTTTTTTAATTTTATATGTAATTTTATAATAATAATAAATTAATATAAAAAAGAGCAAAAATTTATTTTCATTGCTAAAAAAATCGAATTATTTTAAAAAATAGAATAACTATATGATATTTTATTATCAGTAGCAAGAGGAGGATTTAAAGATATCTAATGAGTCCATTCAGCTTTTGTTGTTAAAAGGCTGCTATAAAAATTATATTCGAAAATCTCTATGTTTAAAACTTTGATCGTATATAATTTAACCCTTTTAAAAAATATGAAATAAATTAACCCCGTTAGGTTTGCCCTATGCTCCTCCCCCCCTTCCCAAATTTTTTTAGATCTAGTTACGATACCTGTAGGATTTCTCTATATAATCTAATCATGCGACTTTTTGCGATAATCGAAGGCATGTTTGTCCTCACACGGATATTCCATAGTAAAATGGGTCTTCATTTGTGTTGGCCCTCTAGCGCCTTCCAATGATAGATTGACATTAAGGTCAGAGGATAAGTTCAATAAATATATTCCTTGGTAATATCTCATCGTTACAATCGTTTTGACTTCGATAGCCATATTCAGAACTCAAGACTTATGCTTAATAAAAAACTCAGCAAGATCCCTTAAATGAAGATTTTTAAGGTCAAAAATTGGACATTTAGATCGTCAAATTTTCCTCCTATATTCACGCATATTCTACAAGGATCCATTATTATTAATCCCAATAATGGACGTGGTGGCTAAAGATGTATGAAAGACTTCCACGAAAGCTCGTATATGTATTGATTGCAAAGAGTGAGGCGGAAATATTATTAAAATATAAGCGTGAAAAATGACATCTATAAAGTAACAAATTCATCGATTCCCAAAATGAAATCGATTTAAAAAAATAAAAATAAATCATGTCAACAACTCTATTGTATTGCTAATTAACCTGATGTTCGCGAAGCCATGTTTCACTAATTTGCAAATCTATAAAACAGTCGGTCTTTTTAAGGGCTTGATAACAATCTAGGAGGGGCTTTTTATATATAATAATTTATTTTATATTAAAAAGCTAAATAAAAGATTTCTCTGAATGATTTTAATTTAATATAATTATATTATATTATATACCTACCTCTCTATATTGCGAATATATAGCTATTGGTCTTGAATATTTTAGAAACCGCATAAGTGATAATGCTATATGTTTAGGATGAAACTTGGAGGCAATTATCAATGAATCCATGCTTCTGAAATCGTTAAAATCTCCTCCTTGAGGAAATATGATCTCTATTGCCTTTTCTTCTTCATATTTCCTTTTTGTCACGATTTCAATGTGCTTGAGTAACTTTACGTTATCCCTTTTTGGCAAGCTTAAATCATCATCATCTAAATATTTTTTGCCATTACTATCACATACTGTATTATGGTCGTCCTTCTATAATATAAAAAAAATATTATGAAAGAGATGACTATGTCAGCGTAGTGTTGTTAAACGGTTAGATTTTGCCAATTTTAAATTAAGATTTTAGCCAAATTAATTATAAGCAAGCCTAGAGATTAAGTTAATGAATGTACAAACCTTTCTGCCACCTACGAGCAAAATCTTTAGGTTTGTGTAGTATCATTTGGCTAAAATGTTAGGTTAATCGTTTTTAAAAATAGAGTCGTTTAACAACACTTTGCCAGAATAAAGGATTTTTTATGAGTTATTTAAAAGGTTTGAGCCTTTTCAAAGGTAAAAATCTGATTTTACCGGAAATGTATTTCAGCATTTTGTTTTTAGAAAGTATAATTAATCTGTGAATTTTAGAAAATTTTGTCATAAACTTTTAATCCTCGTTTAATTTACATTAGTTTTTAATATATATTATAAATGAAAGTTAACGGTAAAATTGTCCGAAATTCGTAGGGTAGGTATTAGTGATTGTCGCGGCGAGCCCAGCCCGAACAGGCCCGTAAAAAATATTTTGCACTAGTTGTCCGGCCTGGATAGTAATAGCTTTTTATGAAGGAAAGGGCATAAATTTGCCGAATGCCTAATTATCAGCTTTAAATACATTTTCAATTCGCGACTCGTAAAAATATTTGCACAATTTATCCGACCCGAAAATTTTTTGTTTAGCGGGTGGATTACGCTGATTTCTAGTAGGTATCCTACATATGCTGAAATACATTTCCGATAAAACTAATTCGCGGGAAAAAAATTAACCCATTAACGCTAATATATGAATTATATTAACTATAACAGCTAACAAGTAATAGAGTAAAAAAATAACAATAATTTCAGGGTTGCAATAATAAAGATCAGTTTCGGATAGGCCAATATTTTTTTTTTATAAAAGACCTGATATCGATTTAATTTACCTAACACTTTCTCAAATTGATCAGAATCTTTAACAAGTAATGTCTCTAGAGCATTTCCACCCTAACCTTAAGATCGATATTGGGTTCAGATAAATATTGGTTCTACTGGGGATCGAACAAAAGAAATACAGATGATAGTAGAGTTATAATGGTTTCCCCTTTAACAATAAAATTAGTATAAATAAGAAAAGTATTATAAATATTTAACGGGCGAGTTAAGAAATAATTTTAGACATTCAGTATTTTTCTGAGCTTTGAGTATTCTCATAGTTTAAGGAGTTTCAGTTTTAACTTTGAGCGATTAAATAGGTCAATTTTAAAATATGAAACTCGATAAATCTGTGGTAACTTTGATACCATTATAATTTAGCATCGATAAAATAAAAAGTATTCATGATTTTTACATTTTGGAAAGAAATGTGTCACCTAATTAAGATTGAAGTGGCTATTAAAATGAAACGATTACATTAAATTATTTTTACAAGTCCTTTTATGTCTATACACCCAAATATTTTATATCCCAATAAATTAGATTCTTTAATGCGGTAACTCTTTATTATTCTTCAATTAAAATATATTTAATTTATTTCCACTTTTAAAGAAGCGTCAAAAAAAAATATAATTTACAATACAAAATTCCAAATATAAAATTCCAAAAAAAAATATAAAAATAAATTCCAATTATGATAATTTTCCGTTTTTTGTCTTTTATAGATTCTCAAAAATAAATATATATTTATTAATAATAAAATAAAATAAAATAATTTCTAAAACAATGATGACTCATCCAAATACAATATTAATTTATATAGCGATGATTCATCAAAATTACAAATTTATTTTTAATCCTATGATTTGACAAATAATAAAACAGAATAATTTGATCATTAATAAAAATTTTACCCTTCTTGACACGCCCCCTTTTATAATGAGCCCAAGTCCCCCTCATCGCTCTCTCCTAGAATCCCCTCCAGTTCCTCATCCGTTATGAGGAAATTCAATATATCACCCACCTCTCTGCTGAATATTCCATCCGGGTCCCGGTCTACTCCCTGCGCCTCTTCCGTCCTTGAGTTCATGGGATAGGCATCCACCAACTGATTTCCCCCCGAGGTTTCTTACGAAATGTCCACCACGGGCCATTGCATCTCGCCCAGAAGATAATAGTTTCGGATGGAGGACCGGCCTTCATAAGTGGACAATTCAAGTCTTTTTGTGTGGAAACCGGGGCGAGACATATTTTGACGCCACCATATCATCCGAGCTCGAACGGTCAAGCGGAACGAATGGTGTCGATTGTCAAAAATTGTTTAAGAAAATTAAAGTATGGAGGTGGGGAAATTTGGGGAGCAGTAGCTTATTACAACAACTGTCGAAAGGGAGAGGAACAATCTCCGGCAGAAAGGTTTTTGGGGAGACGAACCAGAATATTACTGGATTTATTAAAACGGGACACGAATCAAGAAGTGGAAAAGGAGAAAATTGAGATGTTGGAATTCATAGTGGGTCAAACCGTGTGAGCTAGAGTATATGGAACTACCAGGAAATGGGAATCCGGGAGGATCGTGGAAAACATTGGGAACAAGTTAAGTCGAGTAAGGTTCGCCGATGGAAGAGAGGGAATACGACATCGGGATCAGTTGAAAAGAGGTGTGGAGCCCGGAAGATTATGATCGGGGGTATGAAGTTGGGCGATATATTATCGAAAATGAGTGAAAAGAAATACATGTATAAAAGAATTTGAAATTTAAAAGGAAGATTTAATAGGTATCGGGATATAATATATTTTATAGTGCTCAAGTTGGGCAGGGAAATAATTGCTCTATTATAGAGCTCAATATATGCGTGCAATGGAATGGGTATCCCAAAAGAAGCCCGAAATAAGTACTGGAGCTTTTATAATGTCTCAGTAGAATAATAATTATTATATGGAAAAATATCTGGGAAAACATTTATCGGAAAGGAAGATTTAATAGATATCGGGATATAATGTATTTTATAGTGCTCAAGTTGGGCGAGGAAATAATTGCTCTATTATAGCACTCAATATATAAGTGCAATGGAATAGGTATCCTGGAAGAAGCCCGGAATAAATTTGGGAAATCGTTATCTGCAGGGAGATTTAATAGGTATCGGGATGTAATATATTTTATATTGCTCAATTTGGGCAGGGAAAATATGTTCTATGTTAACGCGCAATATATACCAAGCTGTGAAAATAACGCCGTCTAATAGCGTGTTAAAAAAAAAAAGAAGAAGATAAATTTATAAATGGGCTCATTAAAGGAGATGAGTTGGGGAAGCAAGTGGAAAAAGTTATAATAAAAAAATAAAATAAAGATAAAAATTTGCGAAGAAAGGAATGAAAGATTTAAAAATTAAAGACAACGGAATAGTTGGCAAAATCGATCAATTAAAAAGAATTTTTGTTATGAAGTAATTATAGGCCGAGATCATAAATTATTAAATTATCGGTAATGTGTTAAAGATTGGAGGAAAATGTTTGAGATTTGAAAATGTCATTGCCAAGTAAAGAAAAAAAAGAATGATGTGGTAAAGGCCAAGATCATAAATTACAAAATTATATAGAATGTGTCAAAGATTTGGGAAAAATGTTCGAAATTCGGGAATGTCAGTGCCAAGTTTAAAAAAAGGGGGAATGACTTAATAATCGTGGGTATATATGGGAGAAGTAATAAAAAAAAATTTTGTTTGCGAGTATTCACTTTAGAATTAGTTTGAAAGAAAATAAAATAATATTTCTTTTTATTTTCGTAATTTATTCTCGTAATTACTGGAAATTTTATTGGTGGAGAAAAACTGATACAAATATCCGAATTCTTAAAAATGGCGATAAATAAAATATGGTATATTGGGGATACAGTGATCCAGCTAATAATTCGGCCTCGAACTAATTTTGAACGCAGGACGGCAAGAAGAACATCTTCCCGGGTACAGCCATTGGAGGATCCACGGAGATGCTTCAGATGTCAACAAAGGGGCCATGTACGGAGTAGGTGCCCACTGGATAGTCGAAACGGAAATGAAGAAACGGAGTACCAGGTATCATCTCCTATCAGATTGGTAGCCGCGGCGGAGATGCGACCGGTAGCCGAGATTGTGGGCCAGAGGGCAGATATCCTATGACAAACGGAGGGAGAGCTAGCAGACCCAATTCCGCTATCTCTGGGCGAGATGCAATGGCCCGTGGTGGACATTTCGTAAGAAACCTCGGGGGGAAATCAGTTGGTGGATGCCTATCCCATGAACTCAAGGACGGAAGAGGCGCAGGGAGTAGACCGGGACCCGGATGGAATATTCAGCAGAGAGGTGGGTGATATATTGAATTTCCTCATAAAGGATGAGGAACTGGAGGGGATTCTAGGAGAGAGCGATGAGGGGGACTTGGGCTCATTATAAAAGGGGGCGTGTCAAGAAGGGTAAGATTTTTATTAATGATCAAATTATTCTGTTTTATTATTTGTCAAATCATAGGATTAAAAATAAATTTGTAATTTTGATGAATCATCGCTATATAAATTAATATTGTTTTTGGATGAGTCATCATTGTTTTAGAAATTATTTTATTTTATTATTAATAAATATATATTTATTTTTGTGAATCTATAAAAGACAAAAAAAAGGGAAAATTATCATAATTGGAATTTATTTTTATATTTTTTTTTGGAATTTTGGATTGTAAATTATATTTTTTTTTGACGCGTCTTTAAAAGTGGAAATAAATTAAATATATTTTAATTGAAGAATAATAAAGAGTTACCGCATTAAAGAATCTAATTTATTGGGATATAAAATATTTGGGTGTATAAACATAAAAGTATTATAAGAATAACTACTAAACGGGAATTGAAAATAAGAGTAAATTTATGTTAAACGAATCCTTATTATTTCCCAGATATTTGAAAAAAAATTCGCATGACCAATCATTTTTGAAAATCTTCACATTAAAATCTCCCAATTGTATTTAGAAAAAACTTCTTGCTAAAAACTAGGTTCTAAAAATTTGTAAAATTGTAAAAATGAATATTTTTTAAAAGAAAAAAAATGATATGAAGGTATTATTTTATAAAATTTCTTCAAGCTACTATAACCCTTTAATATTCTTTCCCATAAATATCTAAAAGTTGGGGAAAATGTTTAAAGGCGAAAAAAAATTTGTTTAATTTTCTTTTAATCAATTAAAACCTCGACATAGGGGGGCGAATTTTAAAAACAAATTCAGATTTCGATTTATTTAAAGCAGAGGCCTGCCGGTCAGAAAATGGAATATTTTTAAAAAATCAGGGTAATCTTAAAAATTTTAAAATGAAATAACCAGGTAGGACTTTTACAATTAAATGTTAACCTACGATAATATTTTGCTTCAAGCTAGGTATATAACAGGTAATTTAGGATAAGCATTAAATTTTCTAATATTTTTTCGTTTAAATTATACTAAAACTAGTTTCGGGTTAAGATCCTAACATTATACATTATATGATTTAGGGTTACTCGATAATATTTAAATTAGTTAAGTTTAATTTAAACTACTTTTTCTTTTATAATTTTGGTTAACCATTTTATTTAAGAAATCTTTTTCAGGAATATATTTTCCAGAAAATTTTATTTTGTTGATTTCCTCAAAATTTTTAAATATTTTATTTGGAAAATTTTATTTCGTGGATATTTTTATAGAGATTTCTTCTATTTTATTAATTTTCTAAAAAATAGGTAATTATTTTTTAGGATCTAAAAAATAGGTAATTATTTTACAGGAAATTTCTCTCTAGCAGGCGCGTAACCAATGGGGGGGGGGGGGGGTAATCCTCTCTCATCGCAAATTTGACTGTTTTCATAAATATCATTTTAAGCTAATAAAAATTTTACTCACCCCTCCCCCCCCCTTCAAAATTTTACAAATATTTGAATATCAATTTTCCAACATAAAACTTATTTTTTATAAATAATTTTTTTTTTAATTTTCTTTCCTTGTGAGTACATTAACATTATTCAAAAATATTAATAAAAAATGGAGAAATTTTTAGTCAAAGACAAAGATATTGAAATCAAACGGTATATAATTTATTATTAAATATATTTATTTTATGAAATTCAAGATTATTAGTTAGTGAGTTAGAATTAATAAATAAGTATTTTTAATAATATTTTAATTATTAATAAATATTTAATTTTATATTTTTCTTTAGAACAGAAGATAAAATTTAAATTTGTCTGAGCATGTTGGCTTAATTTCCCGATATTTTGAAGTTATTTTATATTCTTGCATGTTTGCCTATTACAACATGCACGAATGAAAGGACATTTTCAAACTTGAGAAGGCTGAAGACATTTTTACGAAGTACTACTTCAGAATCTTGGCTAAATGGATTATCTATGTTAAATATTCATAGAGATTTAGTTCCAACGACGAACGAAATTCTAGATAAATTGGCAAAATCCACATGAAAATTAAAAATCACATTATAGTTATAGTGTTTAATAAACTTTTTGATAATATTGTATTTGATAGAAGTTATAAAAACTTGCTTATTAAATTATTTTGTCAATATTTTATACATTGTGCAATTAATATTTTCAATAAAAAAATAATTTATTCTACTTATATTGTATGAGAATTTAAGCTGAGACTAGTTTTTAAAGCAAATTTTAAAATAAATTGACATTAAACTTTATTTCAACTTTACATTTAAAAAAACTTTATTAAATATAACATACCTAACTTAAAATAATAAAAAATAAGCTTATAATATCGATATGCACAAATTAATAAATAAAAGTTAAAAATAGATATATAATTATTATTAAATTATGAATAATTATTATTAAATTATGAATAATTTAATAGAATAGCTAAAACATAAAACCTGGTTGAAGGCCAAGCAAAACTGGCCAAAGGCCAGCTTAGGGGATTTGGGGGTGAAGTCCCCCCCTCCAAAAAAAATTCCACCTCCCATAAGAAAATCCTGGATATGCCACTGCTCTCTAGGGAATTATATTCCTAGATTCCATATGACACATCATGGAAGGTATTACATTCCTAGATTCCATATGACACATCATGGAAAGTATTACAGGGTGAATTCTACTATCTCTGTGTACTAGATTACATGTTTCATTAATTAATATCATCTGTCAAACTTTTCAGCAAAATCCCCCTTAACAAATTTTATATTTTACAAGAAATTAAAAATGGTGAACTATTTCACACCTATCATGCAATCATATGCAAATATTAACTATATTATATAGTTAACAAGATTACACATTTCCAGGCTGCCTTCTGTAAAGGTAGGTCAAACACTCAATAGATACATATAATAATGTAGACCTGCCATACTTGAAAGAAATTAAAGAATATTTTTTTAAAAATCTTTGAATTTAGATGGTAATAATATATCTTTCTTAAATTTATTATTTTATCTAGTGCTCCAAATTTTTTTGTGGGAGTTGAATTATTATATTGATTCATGTATTTATTGGGTTTTTCAAACCCAATCAGTTGGGTTCATATGAAACCAACTCCAATGCTAATTTTATCTGTTTTCTAGCACCTGAGCTGAATCCACAAATTTTTGATAAAAATAATTTTAGGCAATTTATTTTATAATTAAAAATACCTTTTTGATAATAGCAATCCCATTATTATCACAAAAATCTGAATTCTCATTTATGGGTTTATCAATACTATATTGCAATTTCATACCCATTTTAAGAATATTTTGAAAATTAACCGAAAATATGGAATTAAAATGAGATTGAGGTAATTGCATATAATCTATACAAGTTCTATAAAATAATTATATAAAATTATTAGGTTTATTATATACCTATTTGGAAAATCTCCATGATATACTTGTATAATAGTTCCTTGCCCTCCTTGCTTTCTTAATAAAGTTCCAATAATTAAACCTTGACAAGTTTCAAATACCATAATTTTTTTATTTTTATCACTATTTACATTATATAAACAAGTTAAATTGGCTAAATCTTGAAATGATATGTAACAGATTTTATTTGCACATCTAATACTCATTACCTTCCATATAAGAGCTGGAGTTGGTCTAAGCAAAGCTAATTCCAAACATATTTTACGTTTTTTTCTTTGCACATACTTTAACAAATATTTAAATCTTTTTATAAATTTACTTTGTACTTAGAGTACTCACTTCTGTCCACAAAACTTGTATTAGACCTAGCTATCTCATTAGAGATTATTTGATCATCAATAATTATTTTATTTTCTTCATAACTTTCATTGTAATCTAAATTTAATATTTAATTTGTTCCAGAAATTAAATTTTACTATTTAATACAATTTTATCGTCATAGGTAGATTGACGAGACCTTGTAAACTTTCCATCACAATAGACATAAAATGAATCGTAATGAAGACCTATAAAATCTTTAAGTGAAATTCTAAAGTTGAAGATTTTGATATTTCTACATAAAACATTAAAATAAAATTAATGAGGAATGAGTGTACTTATTTTTCTCGATTTTATAACAAAATATATAATGAGGATTTTGTAATATAACATGATTATTATCCTCAATAATATTCATTGATTATTATCCTCAATAATATTCATGTTCATGAGGATCTTACTTTTATCAGAATATTGACAGGATCCTGTCACAAGTTACATAACCCGTTATTATTTACTATATTGTCATACTATTGAAAATTTATTATATATTTTTCTTTAACACTAAAAATTAGAAGATTTTATTATCTACTTGATTTATAATTTATTTCTGAGTTTTGTTAAACTAAGCATTCCTATTCGATTTCATTAACCATCAAATGTTTGTCATAAATCTGGCATGGAAAATGATAATATGAGTGTAAAATTACACAGATGAGTTTAATTTAAAATAAAAAAAAATTATCTATGAATTTATAGAAGACACGTATCAACTAATAATTAAAATTCTTTTAATTGAAAATGATATTTTAAATTTATAAACTAAGAAAAATTATCGCTATTTTTTAGAAATATTAAGTTATTACGATGCGTTTAATTAATTTTAACCTTAAAATCAATTTTATTTATATTTGGGATTTTCTATCTAATGCCCCAAATTTGTACAGGTGATGCAAGTAATTATGCATCAATCTTTTTTTTAAAATAATGGCAACAGCTTGTAATTTATTGTTAAAGATAGCTAATAAAAATGTTAGGGATATCAGATCATTTGCATTATATCCTAGTTCAATTCATAATTACATTACGCCTAGCAAGCAATTATTTTATCGAGTATGACAGATAGTATTAAATTTACATATCTTGCATAACATTCCTTTATCTAAAAATTAGAAATATTCTGAAGATTTAAAAAATAGAATTATGACGATACCCAACATTATAACAACAGCTAGATTATTAGTTACCCCAATAATATGTCTGACAATAACTAAAGAATATTATATTACTTCTGCTATAATGTTTGCCTTAGCAGGAATTTCAGATCTTGTATTTTTCTAAGCTATATTTTTATCTTATTATAAATATAGTTTGATGGAATGATTGCTCGAAATATTCCCAATCAACAATCCAAATTAGGTGCAATTATTGATCCTTTGGCTGATAAAATCTTAGTTAATGCTGTTTGTATAACATTAACATATATGGAGTTAATTCCAAGTATTATACAAGCTATAAATTTTAATAACTTTAAAACTAGTTTATGTTGCGTTTCTCATAATATTCAGAGACATTGGTATATTAGGCTACATAGGATATATCAAATTCAAAAAGTCTATTCTCAAAAATAATAAAAACTTCAATGAAAAAATTAAATTTACTCCCACTTTTTTAAGCAAAGTATTCAAATTTTAAGTTATGTTTTTTATTATTAATGTTAGTGCAATACAGCTCTACAATTATCAACAGTAACTACAGCCTTATTATCACCTATATATCATTACCCTTCTTCACACCCTTTAATGTCTGCATTATAGTAATAATTAATTTATATTTTAACTTTAAAAACTTAATATATCAATTGATCAGAACCATATTTAAGAAAAGAGCTATTTTTTTCATCTTGCATATTTAACTTATTTAATTTTAAAAAAATATATTAAAGCATCGCAACAGCCTCAACAACTCTTATGTCCGGAATTCAATATTACATTATGAGACATCAATTTATTACAAAAAATTAATAATTCAAATCTATTTTTAAATTAATTATGAATTTAGTCAAATAGTTGTATTGTAATAATTTTATTACTTTATTATATATGTAAATATTAAAACAATTAAATGCATTGTATTTATTAATGTGTATAAAATATACAGATAATCAATCATTTTCTGTAATAAAATATAATCAGAACCAAGTTAATCAAATTTTAGGACCAATTCATTTTGATTGCCTATATCCATTTGTACTTTTTTACGCATGTAATATATTGGACAGTCTTGACTATATTTATTAATAAATGGAAAATTAAGTCAGATTAAATTTAATCCACATTTCTTTTCATATTTTAGGTTATAAATCAAGCACATAAAATCCAAGCTAGGCCTAAGAATTTAAATATACATTACTAGTAAAAATTATAAAATCTTTATTTGGATTCAAAGAATTTATTGTTTTCAAAAATGGATATTTTTTAACAAATGATGAATGGATGTGATTTTAATAAAATAAATGAATCCATTAGAGTACAAAATGCAAATGATAAGTTTATTGAAATTAAAACTTCCTAACATAGATTGCATTAATGAATATTCTTAAAATTGAAAGATAAAAGTAAACAATCTAAAATATTTCTATGAAATATGAATACAGCATCCATTTATATCTTATTAATGTGATAATAGCAATTGCAGCAAGGTCATATATTCCATTATTTTAAAAAAGTAAGGATTTAAAAGATATGCTGGTATAATAAATATTATCATGTCAATAATCAATAAAATTCGAAGGATGTTAGACAGACCGGCCTTAAAACTCATAGGCAAGAAAAAAAACTTTATACACTGGAGATCTGAGCAAGGAATATTATTTTCGACAGAAGATTTCCAATCTACTTTTGCAATATATTGTCATTGCAAAAATTTTAATTGTGAGAAAGTGATGATATTGTATTCACAAATAACAAAAAATATCAAATATTATAGCCCCCTTAAAAATAACTTTGTACAAAGGACATCTTCGTGCAAGCTACCCGAACATCTTTGGCATTCAGTCCATAATTCTGAAAAATTTTGTTCCAATTCATTTAGCTTTAAAATCTAATATACAAAAAAATATTAAAAAATTTTGTAATTATCATGCCAATTGCCCCTAAACGATAATAGATTAAATTTTTTTCACGTTAAATAAATTTTGTAATTATCATATCTGCCAAAGAAAAATTAAATAATATAAATAAATTTTAAAAAAACACAAAAAGATAGCAGAATTTTTTTTAAATAAAATCTAGTTCTAAGAAAATTATAGATAGGGCTTTCGAGCACATTTAAAAATGAGTAATATATCATTATACCAATCGAATAACGAATAATAAATTTTTCAATTCATTCAAAATAATCGATTGTGAATAGTTTATTATTCGATCCGTTTTTGAATAGTAAACGCTCTACCCCACATTATTAAATTTCTATAAACTTAATTATTTCTTAACAAAAAAAATTTCTATTGTTTTAAAACTTTCGTTTTTTATCAGTTTATTGAAATATTCTTTATGTGTATTTAAAGATAAGTTAATAAATTTACTTCTCTTTGATAAACTTCAGATACGACGGGTAAACAATGATTGCATATAATCTTAGAATCAGCTTTAAGATGTATAATAAGTGATTTTACAATGGTTTGTTTGTCGTTTTTTTAAAACAAATCGTCGCCTGAAAATTAGATTATACCATCTGTAACTTTACAGAGCAATTTTAAAAACTGAATTTCTATTATTTTCAATCTGATTGTAAAAATTTAAAAAAAATTGATTTATGCAAAAAAAAACAATTTTGACAAAAAGTGGATAAATAACCTAATTCTCAGGCGACGAAATACATATTGCGATTGCAGAAGGTTAACAATTGTCAATATATTAAGACAATTGTATAAATAATATAATTTCACTTTTAAATTAAATTATAATACTTTTGGCGCTATATAATATTGTTTTGCAATTCAAGCATTGGGCATGTTTTGTCGTGAATTGAGATAAGCTTCCAGTTTTCGATATTGGAACGCTTTTGGTAAGAGTATGTTTTCCCCCTTTTAATTTTTTTATAACAATGAAATATTATATTAGTATTCTTTTGTGACGACAAAATCATATGATCTCCTAACTTGTTGTTCTTGACTCACAAACTATCTGAAAATATTATTTTCTGTTTTAGGGTATTAACAATCAAATGTTTAAGTTTAAGAAGGTTATATTTTATGAAAAATAATGTCCAATAGGATGCTTTCTAGGCTTTGAGTTTCAATCCCAGATCCTTATTGCGTAAAAAATAACCACATTGATAAGTCATTATCGAACAATATCCAATTCAAATACTATGCTCATTAATGCAAAATAATCACTTGACTTGATATTTTAAAAAATGTGCTAGCTCTAAAATGTATTATGTAGCGATGGGATATGGAACGTAATCTCTAGTTTTTAAATCATTTACTGAAAATAATTTATTATCTTAATCTAAAAAATACAATCTAAAAAACACGTATGCTTTTCAAATATAATATTAAGTTTGTTCATTATATTCCTGTATGTTTATAAATTTTTTCAACGAAATATCTATAAAATAGTAAAGTTTGAGTGGAATGATTTATTTTTAAATAGTTTGCTTTTTTTACATTTTGAGGATGTCAAAAAACATATCATCCAATTATTTTTTTAGCTTTGCCCCATATTTTCTCTTAATTCGGTTAAACTTTTTAGAATGAAGTATAATAAGGATATGAAGGTTGATTTTCTCATAATATTAAAATAGTATTCAGCTTTTATTCATATTTCGATATAAAATAACAATAAACCGTCTTCGATTTACATCAAAATATTAAAAATTAAAAATTCAGAAAAAAAAGTAATCCAAAAATATTTACAAATTGTTTTGGAGAAAGAAGTGGAGGAGAGCCTTTAAGAGTCCCCAACAACTCCTTTATATCTCTTTATTTCTGAATCATTGTATCATAAAAAGGGAGGAAATAATTCATAGTATATGTATATCAATTATAGCAAAATACAGGAATCCAAACTGAACCGTATACCTACCTACATTTTTTAAGCCTGAACCAATAAAAAATTTTATCACATAATCTGACTCGAACAATTAAAAAGGCATATAACCGGTTTGCATTATATAGTAGTTATAAAATAATTGGAGAGTTATTCCTATAGTATTATAAATTATTGCAGATTAATATATTTTCTAAATCTTTGTTTTTAAACTAATAATATATTATAATCTAATTGAATTTTAATATGTGTTTTTTTATGATGAAATTTTAAAAGATTTGATTCTCTAAATTAATCATTTTAATAAGTAGGTGCATGATAAGATTCAACCCGGTATTTAGAAAATCCATATTTTTTTTTGTAAATCAAACCTCATCTGTTATTTAACCTGAACAGATATTCCCTTAAGTTAGGATCTCTGCTAAATGATTAAAAGATGTAATTAATAAGGAAATAGAAATATTTACTCAATAATATTGATTCCGCTTTATCCCCCAAAATAGGTTCAAATATCCTCAAAAGTGGCTTAGATATTTGATTATCTAAATAATATTGTGTATCGATTGGTATGTTATTTTCTAACACATATATTGGATCCTTTGTAATAAAAAAAAAACTTTTTTAACTAAATTTTTTGAAAATTTAAATTTGTAAACCTGAAAAATTATTGTTTTTTTTAAATAAAATAAACATTATTAAATTCAAGAAAATCCAATCACCAATCTTGTGATGATGTCAAATGCTAATTATATATATTATATAATACCTCCGCTCTTGTATAAGCTGGCGATCCTTTTGAACCAGCTATGATAACGTAAGGTATCCTATCTCCCAATGATGGAGCACTGCCCGGGTCTCTTTTTCTCATTCTTACATTTATAAATTATGATATATTGAAATTAATAAGTTGAATATTCCTCGTGGATCATAAAAAAAATTTTCTTCTACAAATTGCATAATGAATAATTATAAAGTATATTTTCCTTGTTAAATTAATTATTAGTATTATCTTTATTTTATTGGTAATATTAAAATTTAATATCATATTTGATTTTTCATTTTTAATCAATTGACATCACATTACAATTAACATTTTTTTATAATTATCAAATCATGTATAAAACACCATAAACAATGTTTATATTGAATAAGGTTTTTAGCAAAAATAATAGCCAGATCTGATATTTAATCTAGACACATTTCTAATTTTAGTTAATAAAATTGATTTTAACCTATTTCAAAAAAATATTTATAATATTGCTAAATGTTGACTATTTATTCTTATATAAAAAAATGAGCCAAATTTTTTCAACTTTTCTTGATACTTTTTTGTAAATTCAAAATAAGCCTTTGCTTTATTATTATTGGTTCCCAATTTTATCCAGTATAAGTTTAATTTAAAATTGTATATTGCCGCCAGAGACAAAATAGGCAAGGAAAACCAAGATTTTTTTAAACAAGTACTTGTGAGCTAGCTCAACGTGGGCTTGTTTGCCAGCATATTCTTTATCTGTTTTGGTAAGTTCTTTAGTCACTACAAGTTGAGATATGTCTATCTTATTGCACAAAAGTTCCGATATTATTTGGATGGCATGATTGACGGCAGATTGGGGGTTTCTTAATAATATGTTTTTCATAAAAATTATCCGCTTAAATTTTTATTTATCGATTATCTTTCATCATTTTGTATAACTGCAATGGTTGCTTTTTAAAGCTAGAGCAAAATTATTTTATTGAACCCAATGTGTTATTAAAAGTTGTGTTCCTCTATAAAATCATATTGATAATTTAGGGCTACTGGAGCGATAGAGAGGGGGCCTCAAAAAATGTCACAAAATGAATCCCACCAAAACATAGAAATGAGAAAAAAAGTTTATTATTTAAAAATATAATTTTTGCCCTATCAAACGCGTTCAGCAATTTTTAAAATGTATCTATAGGTTGGCAGAAGTCATTCTAGAGCATTAGCATATCCACTTAATAATCAAGAATTAGTAAACCAATCGATTAATTTTTGAAAAAAACAATGATATTAAATCAAAATAGTCTAAGAGCTTTTAAAAAAAACCTTCCAATCAAAATGGTGTGCAGGCAGGAATTTATGAGATTCGATACTAGAGGACAATTGTCTCGCCTAACAGTCTCAAGACCCTTGCAATCTAGTTTATCGTAAGCCTCTGGTTTGGTGTAAGAGAGGCCAGCGTAACGTTTTTTGTTGATTAGCAGATAAGGAAAATATACCTTTATATTGATTGTTAGTTAAAAGGATGGCAACATTCATTTGCATTATGTGATAATTTGTAAAAATATTGAAATATAAAATATATTTTTTTAAATGTTTTCCAGAAATTTTTATAATAAACAGACTCATATTTTTATGTTAACATATTAAATATAAAATCAAAGACTAACTTTCTCGAATTCGAGTAAAATGGGAGATGGAAAATGTTTAGAAACATATTCAGCAGCTTCTCGCCCTAAATTCATTGTTTCGGCCAATGAAGTGAGCCCAAATTTAATCATGACAGAATCAGTATCACCATATACTACCTTTATTTTTAAGTTTTAATAAAAGAAAAACATTAACCCTATTTCAATAAATGTAATAAAATTTATTCTATAACATATAAAAATGGCCTTTCCTATTTTCAAAAAGTTAATTTTTATTATGAGATTTTATACCTTAGCATCATGCGCAAATCCATTACTGATGGTGTAGTGATCTTCAATGACTTTTTTAGTTTGTTCGATCATGAGTCTACCATAAGCCGTTACACTCTAAAAAAGTATTTTATTATTTAATTACTTTAAATTAATGGTTCAATATTTTGAATAGTGTTTTTATTTTTCAATATACAAGTACAAATACTAATTGTAAAATGTTCCAGTACACTTTATATAAAAAAGGTACCGATTTTTTAAATATCCTATCAACCAGGATTAATAGTATTAAAAAATATCTGTTACTGGCCAATATCATTAAATTAGCCCATCTGATATATCAAAGTGGCAGATGCAAAATTATGTAGGATATAATGGTTGAATTTTTTTGTCTAGACTAAATTGATAATTATTCTTTTTAAAATTAAATTTGCTTTATATGTTATATATATTATATTGATATTCTTGTTTGATTTATTCAATTCCTATAGACATTTTCCCCATACTGTTATTTATAATAAAAAAAATTGGATAGTAATATCAGCAAAAATCAGATCGATCGGAAAGTGGTATCGGTACATTTCTACGTTATTTTTGTTTATATAGCATGTTAGTGGACTCTTAAAATAATTTTATGCAATCAATTATTTCATTAGAATTTCAACTAATATAAATATATCTAAACCATAAGGGTTCGACAAATCTTATTCAGAAAAACCTTAAAGAACCAGTTACAGGAACTAAAACTATTTAGAAAGCTGGAACTATAGGTAAAAATAAATGCAGCACTAGGGGTATATACATAATTATTCTATAAAAAGATAATTTCAAAAAATTTAGTCTTTTTTGATCCCGCTCTGATACCATTACTTAAAACGTCAAATTTCCACATATATTATTTAAATACAAATTTTATTAACATTCTAAATGATAATTGTAAATTATATTTACTTGAATAAGGAAATAATTTAAGGGAAAAAAACCCTCTATGATATTCATATATTTATATAATAAAGAATTTTGGGATAAAAAATGTAATAAATAACCTGAGAAATTTCTAAACAAGGAAGTTTCCCATTTTGAGCCCCGGTAAACCCATATACAGAATTGGCACTAATCTTTATGGCCAGTTGTCTTCCATCAAGCACTTGCTTTATAAATATGTCAGTTTCTGATTTTAACGCCAACTTGACTCTTAGAATATTGTAAAACAAAAAAATAGATACATTAGAAATAATATTATTTTGGAAATATTAAATTATCCTATTTATCTCACTGTAAATTAATTTATATTATGTATGTGATCACGTATAGTGATTAACCCAATCCTAAAATATTAGTTTTAAAAATCTAACAAATCCATGAAAATGAAGAAAGAATAGGACAATATTTTTAAATTGGAAGATCCGATGTTATCAAAATGTGAATCAAAATTATTCATAGATTGATAATATTGTATTGCATAATTTTTTAAAAATTAGGATATCATATTTTCTTTTTTTTGGTTATGTTATTATTAAAAATTTGAGATAATATCGGATCGAACAGGTGTCTAGAAATGCGTAGATGTTTAAGCTAAAAAAATAAAATATTATGAGGAAAATAATAGCTAACAAAGATCATTATAAAATTGTCAATAATGTGAATGATCATAAAGGCATAATAATGAGCAAATTGTTCACATCAGACAGTAAAAAAAATCAGCTAATCCTGGAAAATTTAAATAATTAAATTTATATATTTTGAAAAATAATGATAAAAACTATTGTGGCAAACTTTTTCCTAGCGGTCATCAAATCAGTCAGAATTTCGGGTAATATACCAGTGTAAACGGATTGTTTGACAAAATGGTTATTAGAGGGCGTTGTTGTTATCTCATCATTTGAAATTCTAATTTGTTAATAAAAAAATAAAATAAATTTAATGAATATAGTTTTTGGATTTGAAAGACAAGGATTCAAATTGAAACTGATAAGCGATATTATTTACCATTACCCAAAACCGTTAAAAATAAAGGCGTGTAAGTCGAAACCTCTAAAAAATATATGAAACGATCAATTGTTTAAAGGAGCAATTTATATGATATTCATATCTAATTCAAATTTTATACTATTGATATATGAATAGATAATTAAAATCACCCGTATTTGTCATGCAAGACCAGAGTACTGTAACAGAGATTGTAAGCTATCATTATAGAAGGGTACAGGGATGAAAAATCTAACGTAGTAATGGGTGAATCGTAATATCTTTTAGATAAATGATAATTAAATTGTATACGTTATAATGATTTTATAAGAATCAGAAGCATAAAAAGTAATAAACCCTGAAATTGTGTGCTCAGCTCAGTAATTAAAATTTAATTTACAAATATAAGAAAATAAAAGTAAAGTCAATTAGGTAATTTTAAAAATCTGAACATTGATCATTGTTGATATAATTTAGAAAACAAAAAATCATTGAATTTAAAAAAAAATAAAGCTGATTCAAATCGCAATTTAAATTTGCTATTTCTATCCCTAACCTAATTAGTAAATATTATTGTATATTTGTTTATTAAGAGAGAATATAAACTATAGTAGTTGTTATTTGAATATAATTCAGAATATCGTAATAAGTGATCGAGTATAATTAGATGGAAGAGAGAGAATAGGTAATTTTTACAGTAATAGGATAATTTTTGATAAACTTTGATAATTCTAAAAATCAACGTCAACCACGACAAAGATACTAATGTTAGAAAAATATAGAATAGGTTCAAATCAGAGTATGAAAACAGAAGTAAAACCTTCAGAACTGCTCTTTTTAAAATTTATAAAAATAGAAACAAAATTTTATTTCAGGATGCAGAAGCGTTTAGTGGTATGTTTTAATATAAAATGCTTTGTTTTTTAAATTAATGTGGTATTTTTTAAAATACTAAAGCTTGCGTTTTTTTAATGCAAAATAAAACGCTTACAATGGACGACGTTTAAAGTAAATTGTTCGGGAAATATCACAAACCGAAAATTTCGTAAGCACTATTATCTAGCTTATTTTTTTAGGATCATGATTAAGAAAACCCGACTTAATCAAAATATCCAGATAACAGCTCAAAAAAATCTGACCATTAAAAGAATAATGAATTTAAAAAATAATTTAAGGGATTATATTATACAATATATAAAAATAATGTTAAAACCCTTTGATAGGTTCAATGACAGTTGCCCCAATGAATTCTTCCCCAGATTCCCCTTGATAAGCAGGAATTATCAAATTCTTTTCTTTGGCCTTTGATTTAAAAGGATAAAATAAAGAAATAGTAAAATTATGCTCACCTTATTCTAAAACTTATGAATAAAACATTTTATTAAAACTAGAAACTAGGAATTGATCATATAAAGCAAATAAAGGAATTATAAGGAATCTATGAAGAGGGAGTCATCTTTAAAAGTTAAAATAAGTTGAATTTTTCCTATGAAAGAATATACTATCTTTCATTAATGTTAGATTTAAATTAAATGAACTAATATTGTATGCTAAAAAAATGTACCCATCCAATGGAAAATGAAAGCATTATTAAATATTAAAACGAATTAAGATTAAATGTATTTTTATGATAAATGTTAGTGGTGGAAAAAAACAAAATAAAAAACGTTTGTTTCAACAAAAAACACTTAAAATTTATTAAAAAATATTTAAAAAACGAAAAAAAACGGGTTTTTGAATTCTTATGTATAATAATTTATAAATATCGGAACCCTGCAGAGGTCAAATTTTCGAGCCAGGCTCAAGCTTGATAACATTTCACATTTTTATTCCCTAATCAGGTTTTTTGTAATTTATTTTTTACGTCCCGCAAAGATTTAAGGGTCGCGCTTAGGCCTGCAGGTTTCAATAATATATTATAATGGTATAAAACCTTTCTCAGGAGTTGACTCAAAACTTTAATCTGCTGTCCTCGAGTTAGCAAATAATTAAGAGGAACTCCCGTCACTCTAGCCATTTCAATGTGATTGATCAAGCACAGCAATTTATTCAGTAGTCTAAGAGGAAGATAGGCGTCTTTCATACAATAAACTGCCAACCGTCGGCGGGTTTGATCGTTGCCATTCTATAAAAAGATTTTAAAAAAATTAAAAAATATGCTTTTTTTCTAATCAATTTAATTTAAATCCTTTCAATTCACCCAGTTTTTTTAGAAATATGCTGGTTAAAAACATTTAGACTGTTTTTTTTATTCATTAAGATTGGAAAAATTATGGTGAAAAATAAGTAAAAAATAATGATATTATGACTTATCAAATCTTTATTCCTACAATAAAAAGATGAGTATATAAAGAAATCAGGTGGTGAAGGCACATGGTAAAATAAATATAAAAATTATAAAATGTGTAAAATAATTGAGTTATGCCACCAGAATTTCGTGAGTAGGGTTTGATTTATTTTTAGCGAGAGGATTAGATTCTATCATATAGTGGTAACACCTTAGATTTAACGAATAATAATAATTTAGCCGTTTAAATAATTCGTGCTTTAATTTTTTTAAATAAATCTAGATATAATTAATAAAATATATAAAAGCGAAAACAATAATAAATTATTTTTTTCACCATCTTTATTCCAAATCGGGAAATTGACACATAAATCTAATGTGAAATAAGAACATAACGGTATGAGATAATAAAGATTCCAAGCATAATTATAATAATATACATGGAAAAGTTGAAGTGGAGGCAGTTTTATTCTTAATGAAGTTACAAGCCCGCCCAAACCAAAGAATATTATTCAAAGAGTGTTTATTTCCATTTTTAAAATTCTTGCAAAATAATTGTTTTGGCAAACCATGACGTAGGGAGTTATATATTATAAATATTTGGCTTATAGAAAGTTATAAACATTTATATTATTCAACAAGCTATTTATCATTCAACATGCTGAACAATATGTCGTGAACTTCCTAATAAATAGACCCCGAGCTGCTTGAATAGTTAATAAACGATTACAGGATTCTGGTTTAATTTTCCTAGTTTTTTTATGTCCAAAGCTAATTGGGAAAACTTTACTTTTTTTCGCAAACAATCAATATGTATTATGATGCAAATGATGAACAATATGATAACAAAAAGAGAACGTGTACGATCCGATTATTAAAAAAAAGATCAGCATATAATCCAACACATGTATATAAGAAAAAACGAGAGATAACGTTGTGGTCAGCGCTGACCAGCACTTGAGCCATGTTTTTTATAAATTCAAAAACTTTCATCATAAATCAACAAAATTGATCATTCAAATAGTATTTTTATACCCAGTATATAATGTCCCAAAGAACAATAAAAAATGTTGCAGTGAAATACAAATATATTTTTTCTCTCCTCCTCCACCCTCTGTCAAAATATAGGCTACTAATAATCGACACTGGTCCTTCTTTTTTTTATTAAATTATTAGAAATTATAATCAAATATATTTTAGAATAATCTTAAAATTTTTAGCAAATTTTACCCATCAATATAATCTAAATGACGTTATAAAATAAAAAACGTAATTAAACCTTAAAAATTATAGCCTAAAATAATTTATTATATAACTCGCAATCAAAGACCCGGAGTGAACCGTAACGAAACGTTAAACCATCATAAACCGTTATAAATATCAGAACCGTAACCGATATAATTATTTTTGAAGGAGTAAAAGAACCTTTATAAAAAAAGATTAAACCGGATCAGTTTTTATATTTTAGTCAACAAAATTTGAATATCCAGTATTATATAAACTTGCTCTTATAGTACTGGCGGTTCCTGCATCACAAGTTTCTGTAGAAAAGGCCTTTTCAGGGCTAAAATTTGTGTTATCGTCACAACAAACAATCCATTTATATTATAAAATATATTACTTATAATATATTTAAAAATGAGTTATTTTGAATCTTATATATTTTTTATATATAATTCATAGATGCTTATAATAAAAATAAATTAGACGATGGTGTTGTTTCAATAAAAAAAAAATTTCTAACCATAATGAACCATTATGAACCTTTATAATAAGCTAAACCGAACCGAACCTTTGTAAATTTTTTAAGTAGTAAAATAATTTGTCGAGCTCGTTTTTGAAGATTTTACCACCATTGAATTTATGAAAAATCACTGCTTAATATATTTCCAACATTTTGGTCACGAACATTTTAGTTATTATTTTATGTGTGTGTGTAAATTACTTGGATTGAATGAAATATTAATCAAGCAATTACAGTCTAATTATGTAGATTGTCGTAAGATATATTACTTATATATATATAATATATATATACATAACTATTTTATACTTGTAGATCCGTAATAATGGAATGTTGAACATCTTCTTTCTGCTCTTCCAAAAAATGAAAACTGACGGCATTTAAAGAATAGGACCTGAGTTTATGTTCTCTGAGTATTATCTAATAAATATTTTAAAAACCCATAAACAAGGCTTTATAAATTTTAATAAAAATCGTGGTGTTTTGATGAAACTATCTAAGTTTCCAAAATGCTAAGTAACATCTATCTTCCCTTCCTAACATTTTTTATTTAAAAATCCATATTTTTACTATAATGAATGTTATTTAGAGTCTTAAGGAGTAGCTCGTTATCTTTTAATCTTATGGTCAGTTGTATCATAATCTTGCTCCGTTTATATCTTTTTATTTATCAATTAATTCTTAATAATTTTATCTGTTCCATTTTTTAGAATAAATCTATTATCTGGTAGTAAATTTTGAAAAATTATATAATGTGGTACCTTTTTCTCAAATACGTGAATAAATCTGAATTTCAATTTTAAATACATTCGAGAGCCATTTAAAAATTTTAAAAATCCAATCATTCCGGAATTGTATTCCAGTCCTATGTCGTGAACTTTTGAACTATTCCTAATTAATATATTGACTTCACAAATGTTCATGGCAAAATTATCTGAAATTCACTAAGTATACTCTACACGTGCTAACATACATTCCCGATAAAATATGTTTTCTCTTTCTCATATTTAATTCGCTCTCATAGATAATTTAAAATTAAATGATTATCCTCAAATGAGAATTCTAGAATGTTCGTTATTCCAGAAAGATAACCAAAATATATATAAATTGTCACAATATAAACTTGAAATAAATCGAATATGATCCTCCCTTCCATAGCTATAAGCTTGTTCTCCCTTCTCCCCATTTGTTTGGATTGAATGGTAGATTCTCTGAAACCCGTCTTGAGGTAGGATATTCTGCCGAGATAGAAAAAATCGGACGCCTATAATTACATTTATACGGTTATAGTTAAATTTAAAGTGGTTTATGGAAATCATATTATATTAAGACGAATAATATAATAAATTAAACTGAATGGAAAAATATACATAGAAAATCTATTTTAAAATTGGTGGTTATTTTTATAAGATAGGATATATCTTTTATTGCTCAAGTTAAGCTAATTTTTAAAAAAAATTGTATAAATAAAAATAATAATTACTTTGATAGCATTAGCTCTATTGATAAGATAAGGGAAATCAAAGTTTTGTATGTTGTAACCAGTTATAATGTCGGGATCAACTTGTCTAATAAATTCAGCCCATTTCTAATTCATGATAAATCGTTTGAAAATTTGGTGATAGCTATAATATGTCGTATTTAAGAGTGGAAAATAGTAAAGGCAAACTTTTGTATCCATTATTTATTTATTGTATTGATTGCAATAAGACTTAAACGAATATCGTCTACAATGGTAAAATAATGTTTAGTCCATTGTTTCATTAAATTGTTTTAAAAATTCTATGACACTAGTGGATTTTAAAGAGAATTGTTATTTATAATATTAAACGGATGGATAAACATTTAGGGAGGAAGATAAAATAAGAGATGGGATAAGATGGTGACCAATAGCATGATAGGACTATACCAGGGGATGGTCCTGATCGTGGTAGAAGCTCGGGAAATTAAATATATAGTTAAACTGGTGCATATTGAACGGTGGAAAAAACTATTCTAAGAAGCCCTCAAATTAATTATCAACTTTATAATTAATTGTTCTTACAACTTGATCATAGGATGTTTAATCTTAATTTAAAAAGAATATCTATCAGTAGTTTAGCTCAAAATTAAATATTTATATTCCATTTTTTTATTGGCCAATTTTAGAATTCAAATTGTAATCTAACAACATTAAAATATTTAAGAAAATAAACATAAATCAACAGGTTTTAACGCTAATTTTCAAGTTTGAAATATAATATAAAAAAAATACCAATATCATTTACCGTAATCTTTCCATCATTTATGAAGGGAAAAAATGTCCTTGAAATAAAAATCTTTACATTTTGACGAAACGAAAAAAACTGTAAATAAAAATGTAATAACCTGCAATAGTTGTATCTCTTTATCAAAACAATACACGTCGCTTCCTACTATAGGAGCACAAGTATTCAGTGTAAAAACGTTTCGAATAAAAGGAGCTGACTCACTATGTTTGGCTACCATATTGCCTATTTGGATAACGGAATCAAATGCCGGGTCAGGAAATACTCCTTAAATAAATTTTAAAATTTCGTATTTTTTAAAAAAATATATTGTTCGAATGATAATTTAAATCTCACCTTTTCTATTGGAACACTCTATATCGAAGCTTAAAATTCTAAATGGGGCAATGTGGGACCATTGTGGTTCGTTGGGTGAATGAGAGATAATGTCACCCCAATACGGAATGTCCACTTCTATTTGGCAACGAGTTATTTTATTCTTTTCGCCTTTCCTTAAAGAAAATTTGGTAGGAGGCAGTTCTATCCAACTTCCTCCGACCATTTTGGAATCAACCATAAATCTGTGAGTTGGAAAAAATATAAAAAGTAACTTCAATAAGTATTTTTTTAAATTATCTTTTGATAGCCTTTAATAAGATAATTAAAATATATTATAAGTAAGCGAAATTATTAAAAATCAGAACTTAATCGATATTTACAATATTTTGGCATTTATCTTAATCAAGCATAAGAAATAAAAGATAAATAAAGTATTCTAATATTAAAAAAATATAATAAATAAAGTTATGTATAGTTATATATAGTTAATAACAAATAGAAATTATAAAATTAATATATGATAGAATTAGGCATTACCAGGATTATCATCAATTCAAGGTTAAAATTAATAAATTTTATGACAATGATATAAAATTTTTGGCTGATTCCAATTTATGATGCTATTTAAATTGGTAGCATGATGCGCAAATGGGGATTTAGAAACAATTGAAGATATTAAAACTTTGGATTTAAGCCTAAAATTTATGATAATCCTTGTATACCCAGATTGTATTAAAATGTAGATATTAATATCATTATGATATTATTACACATAAATATTCTTAAACATTTTATAATTTTATATAAATTCTGATTTTTTTAAGTTAACTTATATAAATTCTAGTTAGGGCTGTAACGATATTAAATACCGCATCGGGGATAACTTGGACATGAGAAACAAAAAAATTCATGTTTCGTGGTTTGCTACCGATTAGAGTTAATTATTTGCTGCATTTAAAAATATTAATTTTTTATTGACATTGGTTCAAAGATAGATGGTAAATAAAAATCAATGAAAATATTAATTAGGATTCAGTTAAGTTTTGGGTGAATATTGGATCAAATCGATAAAAAGTTGATTGGGATAGCTCTAAATCTAGGATTCTATACTATATCGTTAACCATATTTTCTTTGATCAGGAAATTATGTTTAAAGGAATCACATAAAATAATAGTTTTTCTTTAACGTCAATTTAACAATTATAATAGTTAGTGTTATTATAGAGCAAAAAAGATTGTGTAAGATTGGTGTTACTCATAGATAGCAGAAAGGTTTGGGCGTCTATTAACAAAATCTAGAGGCTTGCGTAATAATATTTTGGCTAAAATATTAATTTTAAAATCGGTGAAATCGAAGTATTTAACAACACTATTTGCTAATTCTATATTTTTTTTAAAAAAACTTTTTTTTATCTTTATCAATGATACTTTTATTACAACATTATTTTTTATGAAATTCAGTAATTTAAAGTGGTAAAATTTTAAATTACTAAGATATTGTCAATTACAAGATTTCAGAAATCGGGATAATGTGATGATTTGATTGATTTTGGGATAATTTTTTATTAATAAAAATAAATTTTTAAATGATAAAACTTAATTTTAAAAACTATTTTCTCTCATAATTTCGGAGGGAATGGCATAAATTCTTTATGGCCAAGATAGATATGTGTGAGTATTATTTATCCATATTATATATAAAAAAAAATTTGCCAGATTATATCTGTATAAAAGAATGGAGAAAGTATGGATTTTAATTCCCTAATCAACTCATTTTTAATTCAATATCCTTGAATTTATAAAATGTGGTAAATATTACCTAAAAAATACGGAAAAAAAATAATAAGCAAAGCAGGCTATATTTTTTTAGAATGATGATTCTCAATCCTTAAGTAAAAAAGATCTTTCATGTAAAATAGAGTATATAAAGACATCGATAAATAACCTTATCTCAAAATCAATATTGCTTTCGTAAGTTTGGAATATGGACTTATCTGTGTATGGGGTAACAAAGTTTCTTTCCAATATCCTCTTGGCAACTGGTACAAGACGAGGTAGAGCAAGTGAAATTTTTAAGAAATTGGACAACTTGTTCCCATGATATCCATATAAATCTTTTTTTTAAATTTTATTAAAATCATTTGAATAATTAGCAAGTTTTTATAATATGACATGATATTAAGGTTATCATATATCTTAAAATAAATTAAATGCTATTAAGTAGTACTACAATAGTAGTTGAATTTTTAATTCTATTTTTCATTTGATAAATATTATATAAAAATATAACATTTGTTGTAATTAGAAATCGTTACTTTGCCTTTCGACATTTTCTAAATCCATAATGCAGGTAGTCAATTGTGTTTTGCTTTTAAATTCTGTTCGTAAAGATTCATGCAATGCTTGCTAAAAAATAATATATGAAAATAGGTTGTTACACTTGAGTGGTATACTGAGGCATAGCAACATCCCATAGATTTGTAAATTATTATTAAAAATATCTAACAGTATTTTGAATTAGTTTTAATAGCCCCTTATTTTATGGTAAGCTATATTTTGGAAAGCTTCATAATGATTTTTAAGGTATAAGCATTTTTGGAAGCAAAAACGGACATTTTAATTTTCTAAATTTTCTAAAAAATATATTATTATTTGAAAACATGTTTAAACTAATATTTATAAATTCATTGGATAAAAAATTTTTATTAGATTTTTGTACTAAAAATAATAAATATATAGAATTATTAATAAAGAAATTTGAGTGAAATATAAGAATTATAAAATTGGAGGGGAGGGGGCAGTGCCGCGCCTAAAAATTCCTATTATTTTTCCCACATTATCATTCAAGAGTTAAATATATTAAATATCATCATTTAAGTACAAAGTTAATCTGACTAAAAAACTTTTTTAATACTTTAAATAAAGGTATATCAGCATCTTTAAGATCTGAAGGTTTGTCAATATAAAAATAGGGAAAAAATCCATGAACATGGCAGGTCACGCTGTTGCCATCTTTAGTTGATCCATACATCCTCACAATAGAGGTTTCTTTATTAATGCTTAAAGGGTCAGTTGGAGTACCTGAAAATAATTATTATTTATATTTAAATTAAAACAATTATTGATTGTTATTTATATTTTTATAAGGATATCATTTAGTGTAATTATTTTTATCTTTAGAATAGGTTAGAAATTAGGGCATCCTAGTTTAAACTGATCCTTTAAAATTTTATAATAGAGTTCTTTAGTCCTCAGCGCCGCCTTATTTATCCAAGCCCTTCCCATAAATATATTTTATACAAATTGTGACCCAGCCTATATAAATCTTTTATAAAGGATAAAAAATTTATTCTACAGCTTTAAAAATATTTGCAAAACTACTTTGGTCTAGTCTGGTTAGTAAAAATATTTTGAATTATTTGCCCAAGCTTACCCAAAACAAATTTCGCTGGGCTTTGCCAACCTCTACAATAAAATGCATATCTTAACTCAAATAGGGGTCATAAAAAATATATTTGTGTAAATGTATCTGACGTTGACTATAGAATTAAATATCACAATTAAATTTAAATATAATCAATAAATCGAAAAGTAAGATGTGTCTATTTTAAATATTGGATCAGATCAGGCCATATTAAGCATTTTAAAAAAAATTGCTCAGGTTGATCTATTTAAAAAACGAATACAACATAATATTTTAATTATTTTTGGTTATTTTATCAATCTATATATAATGATAAAATAATTTATATTTTATACATAATTTCATGTAAAAGGAACCAAAACAAAAAAAAATAAAATTATAGATAGAATAGAGGATAAAAATTATTTGTAATATTATCTGCTCAAGAAAAGGATTTTAAAATATTTGTTTCAATAAGCTATTGTTAAGCAATTCAATTTAGCCAATTTATAACATGCTTTTAACCAAGAAAAAATTATTCAAGCTTGGAGATTTAATTAACAGGACCGAAAGAGACATTTAAGCCATTTTAAAAAAAGGCTAAATCAAGCCAATTTAACAATATTGTATTCAGCCATAGACATATCCCATATATTAAATGAGATGCTTAACTTTTGGAGAATATACATATTATGACAATGTTCAAAGATTGATGGTAAATAAACTAAATATTGAATTGGTATCAAATCAGTTTTGTGTAATATCACAAAATATGGAATTAGAGAAAATTTATAGGCATATCCCTTAAAAAAGGTGACTAAAATAAGAATCCCCGTAAACTAAGAATCCCTGCATATTATAAAAATAATATGGATTCTTATTTAGTCCACTCTTCAATATGATTTAGAAAATATTTTTTAATTTAAAAAAATACTGGTAAATTAATTAAAAAAACATTTTTTTCATGACTAAAATAAGAACTCCTAAGAATCCTCACTAATTATAGTCTATTATAAAAAAATAAGATTCAAATTTATCTCTTCAATGTGATTCAGAAAATGTAAAAACTAATTTTGAAAAAATTTTTTTAAATAGTGGGACATTGAAAAAACATTATAAATAGCAGAGACCTGCAGGCCCGGCCCTAATCCCGGCCGTATTTTAAATTTTTTAAATATACCCGGGCCGGGCCTAAAAAAAATTTTTTTAAATATATCCGGGCCGGGCCTTAATATTTTTTATAAAAATTTTTACATTATGAGTTAATAGTTACAAGATTATATTATATTATAGTTATGATTAATATAATATTGGGTGATGGTTAACACACCTAACACCCACAGATCGATCTAATTATTAATCTCCTGCAAATTTATTCAAAGTATTAATATATTTTTTTATAATTCATATCTAAATTTTTACAACATATTTTACCAAAACAATCAAATAAAGGAATATCTTAAAAACCCCAATATTCAAGTATTAATAATATATTTTTTATAATTCATATCTAAATTTTTAGAATATTTACCAAAACAATCAAATAAAGGAATATCATGGCACAAAATACTAATGATATAATTAATAAAATTAAAAATAATATTTATTCTTTTAGAAATACAAATAATAATTTAAAATCTGAAATATGAGCTAAATTTAACATCATCATAGATGAAAATAAAAAAAACATTGGCTATGTACAATGTAAGAATTGTTCAAGTATATTATCTTATAATTATAAACATGGTACATCACATCTAAAAAGACATAAATGTGATGGTAAATCCATGAAAATTAATAAATTTTTTTACACCTGAAAAACCAACCTATAAATGTAATATAAAATATTTAAAATTATAAAATAAATTATATTAATATTGTGCAATTAGATTATATTTTCAAAATACTATTTATTATACATGCATTTTTTTAAATAGCGATTTATTTTTATTTTATAAATTAAATAGTAAATTAAATACAATATATTATATTCTCAAAATATTTTCCATTTTTATAAATTAAATATTAGTTTTATTTTTTTTAAATGCAATATAAAATATAGTAAATGCTCAAAATATTATTACCATTTTTATGAATATTAGTTTTATTTTTATAACAAAAAATATAGTATATGCTCAAAATACCCATTTTTATAAATAACAGTTTTATAATTTTTATAAATTCAATATAATATTCTCAAAAATATTAGCCTTTTTCATGTATTTTTTAAATAATAAGCGATAATACTCGCTGAAAAATATGGTAAAATACCTCATAGGTGAATTTTTGTATATAACAGATCGAATATAATTTTAAAAAATTCCGAGCCGGGCCTGAAATTTTTAAATCCGGGCTAGGCCAGGCCGTAAAAAATTTTTTTTAAATTAATCCGGGCCGGGCCGTAAAAAATTTTTTTTAATTTATCCGGGCCGGGCCGTAAAAATTTTTTTTTTTAAATATCCGGGCCGGGCCTAAAAAATTTAAAAGCCGGGCCGGGCAATGCCGGGCCGTGCAAATGGTGCCTCTGCAGGTCTCTGATAAATAGTCTATTAATTTCAGATATGCGATATAAAAATATTTAAATTTAAATAATATCTTTAATATAATCACATAAAATTTTAATTATCATAAACTAATAATCGATCTTCGTTCATGAATTCCTCAATCGCTAGAGAGGGTGGCGGATTAGCAGGTTCGTGAGGATGGTTATTTATGGGGGGCTGTTTAATAGGCGTAGGAAATGGGGTAACAGGTCAGTCGACTGCACATCCTGCCTATTTCGTGATCTACTGTGATTAGAGAACCGACGCTCACAGTATCTAACATAATGATTCCACCCACATCTAGGGCAGATTATGGAATTCTCTTTCGAGTTTGATTAGGCCGATACATCTCCCAACCTTTTGGTATTAGGTCTCGTCTTGATATTTTTCATTTGGCCATAAAGCCTTGGTCCTGACATCTTTAAGCCAAATATAAGATTTCTCAGATTCATCAATGATTCTGGTTTGAATTCGGATGCCAACTCTGCATGTAGCTGTCATCTATAATTTAAAAAAATTGTAATAAAGGCTGTTTCTCCTATAAGGTTTTGCAATACCCAAGATAAAATATAAACAGGGCTGTAATTATTTAATCTATAATAGGGAGTTTATAATATTAATCTAGGTTATTTGTTAAAATATTTAACACCGATGCCGTATTTTTTTTATTTTTAAATACCTGGGTCAAGATATTATACTTTTCATTACTTAAAATTATCTATTTAAAATAATAGCTATACTACAACCCTATAATAAGAAAATACTTTGACTTTATTAATATACTTTAACAAATAACCCAAAAGAAAGAAAGAAAGAAAGAATATTATAAACTCCCTATTATAAATTAAATAATTATGATTCTGCTTATATTTTATCTTAGGTATTGCGACCTTAAAGAGACAACCTTTATAACAATTAATTTTAAAAGATGCTAGTTTAAATGTATAAATTTCGTTTATAACAATTTTTTTAATATTTAGATGGCGGCAACTACATAGAGTCGGCAATTTCCTCATCCGAATTCAAAAGAGAATCATTGATATATCGGATGAATCAAATATTTGGCTTGAAGATGTAGGGCCGAGGCATCAAGGTTTTATGGCCAAATGATAAATATGGAGACACGACAAAACAAAAAAGAGATTGGGAGATATACAGGCATAATACAAATTCGAGGGAAAGCCCCAATTTGCTATAGATACGGGGGAAATCACTATGTTAGATATTGCGAGCATCGCTATTCTAATCAAAGTAGATTATGAAAGGCAGGGCGTGCAACCGGCTGCATCTATTATCCCATCTCCAGTGCCCATCCCATTTCCCGCGCCTATTAACCAGCCTCGAGAGAATGTTAACCCTCCTCAAGAACTTGGTAATCCACCAGCCTCGATAGCGGTTGAGTAACTTATGAACGAAGATCGATTATTAGATTATATTAAAATTTTATGTGATTTATTATATTAAATATATTTATATTTTAAATATTGTTATATTACATATCTGAAATAAAGAGAATATTTATTTTGAAATATTGGCTCAAAATTTTCATCTTTTGTTGTAAATAGCAACTATATATTTATTTTATAGGTTAAAAATTAAAATATATCATGTGTAAAAATAAATACTTGAAAATATGGGTCGGGTTTTCTCCGACTCCAATTTAAATAGGCAATATCTTTCTATAGAAAATTTATCTAAATATCATGTAAAAATAACAATAATTTTAACAAAGATTTTTTACGGCTTGGCCTGGGTTTTTTTTAAAAAAATTTAAGGCCCGGCCCGGCTTTTTTTAAAAAAATTTAAGGCCCGGCCCGGCTTTTTTTAAAAAAAATTTCAGGCCAGCTCGGCTTTTTTTAAAATAAAAATTTCAGGCTCTGCCCGGATTTTTTTAAAATAAATTATATTTATTTTTGATTTTTATAGCTAATAATAACGATTTCAAATATAGGCTGTTTTAAAAAATACAGCCCGGATTGGGTGTTTTTTTAAAATAATTCAGGCCCAGCTTGGGTGTTTTTTTAAAAAAATTTCGGGCCCGGCCTGGGTATATTTAAAAAAATTAAAATACTGTCCAGCCCGGGGGCCGGGCCTTCAGATCTCTGAAAAACATACCAAGAAGTAAAACATCTGAAAGTAGATGGAAAGGTTTGGATCTTTTGAATATTCATAGGCATTTGACGACAAGCAAGGATGAGATAATTGAAAAATTAGCTCAATCACAACGAAGATTTTACATTGTAAATATATAACATACAAAATGCAATTATTCCTAAGAAACTTTTTGTGTAAAGGCTAAAAAAATTCAAATTTCTATTTTGGGTCATTTAAGTGATTCTTTACATATAATTTTTTTATAATTCATATAAATTTTAAATTGTGTATTAGAAATAGTTATTAGTCATAATAAATTTATGCTTGATATTTTTAAAAAACAATAATATTTCTTAAAAATTTTTATCATCCCCCCCCCAGACCAAATTCCTGCGTACTGTAAAACTTAATTACATTTGGTTCAGGGGGGGGGGGCATATAAATATCGGATCGGTTTTGAGCCAATATTGGAAAATATTGGATCGGTGAAAAATATGTGGATCGGCACAGCCCTAATGATAATTTAATGTTTATTGTCAATTTAATTAGTATTATAGCCTGGATGCAGCTGAAATCCACTTTTAGAGTTCTATATTTATAAATTTCAGGGATCATTAGCAAATGGTTCTAATATTTGCTATTGATTTATTAATCTTGAATGAATTATATTTCTGTTATCCTATAAGTTTCTTTATAAGCCAGTTTTTTGAGAATATAACAATATTAACTAGTAACTCATAACAATATTTTTTTATAGATGTCTAAAAAAGTAGCATTTTAAAATCCATATAACTAGAAAGTATATCTTATTTTTTAAATTAAATTTAACTTTTTTATTAAAGGGGTTTATCGAATTTAATGTGTTTAAAAATTTTTAAATTTGATTAGGTTATAAGGAAATTGAGAAAAAATTTTAAATTTAAAAAAAAATATTCTCTCAAGATTTTATTCCCAATAAATATAAGTTAATGATTCCTTAATTTTTAAATTAGTGCAGATTTAGCTAGTTATCAGTTCTTAGAATGATTGGCAAAAATATTAACATTTTCTGAATCCTTTTTAAGTCATAAACATAATTCAATATTTATTTTATTTTAAAGACATGATCTATAATTTATTTATTTTAAAAATATTTTTTTTAAATTAATTTTTTTCTTCTGAATAAACTTGATCTATTTTTATTTTTTTATATAGGGTAAAATAGTAGATTTGTAATAAATCATTAAAAATAATAAAACAATGTGTGTTTATATTTTTGCATATTACTTAATGATCTGTATTCAGTAAAGACTATATAAGATAAAAAAAATAAACATCAAATGTATATCAATATGGTATACAAATTTAATTTTTACATGTGTTTTGTCAAAAGCTAAAAAAAATTTATATAAAATATATACCAACATGGAAAATAATAGTTTTAAAATCTGTTTTGTTATATATTATATAAGGATTGTTATTTATTTTGTAAGTAATGTACAAAAATATAAACACATATTGTTTTACATTTTTAATGTTTTATTTCAAATATAATATTTTAACCTGTAATAGTCCAAAATTAAAGAGGATCCTTATTTTAGTCATGAAAAAAATGTGCTTGTTTAATAGGGGATTATTAGTTTACGAGGATTCTTATTTTAGTCATGTTTCTTAAATAAGAAAGGCATAACTAAGTATAACAATAGGCTATTTCTGTATGAAGCATTAATATTTTATCTCCAATTTTGAATAAAAATAAAATAATTTTTAAAATTACACATTCACATAATAAGTGTAAAATGAGAAAATATAAGATATTTAATTTGAATGATGCTCCTATATTTAGTGTTTGCAATTAATATTATGAATCAAAAGAAATAAAAAATATATACAGCTTTGTTGAAATTGTGGTGATATAAAAAATTTAAAATAATAAATTACTCTCAAACTTATTTATATATATTTGACACAAAAGAATCAAACCAACTTATACAATATCATTAAAAATTCATTTGTGATTCAACATATCAAAATGGTGCAATTAATATTTAATATAAGAGTATCTCCTTATACATAACAATATTAAATGTAATATTTTACATATGTGCCAATATGGTAATATTTGTTTTTACCTATATATGAGTCAATATCAATTTGTTGAAAAATCAGTTTATCAATAGATTCATCCATTGATAAAGCTGGAGGTCTTGCCCATTTTAAGTTTATATTATCTTTCAATGATTTTGAATCTAAAAAATATAAGAAAAATTAATGATGAATATAATAAGTACTTATGCTAATTTCCTCAGAATTTTGTGATTCCATTTCCATTTCTTCAAACATTGCCAATTCCTGCTCAAAAGTCGAAAAATTTGGGGTATCGTCATAATCATCATCATTGTCCACCCTAAAAATTATTAGACGTTATCTTAATTATTATTACTTCAATTTTTTAGCAGCATAGTTATTTGCATTACTAAATTTTTTTGGTTTATATTTATTCATATTAAAATTTGTAATTTTTAAATTTATTATGCGCGAAATCTCATCCTAACCTTAAAGAGTTATATTAAATAATGGTTTGAGCTAAAAAAAAAAAAAAAGGCATGTATAGGTAATACTTTTACAAGCGAGTAAAAATAAATATATGCCTCGTGTTTTACAAATATTGATATCTATATATGCATAACATTTTTAAAATAACTGTTGGTAGACCGGAACACCTTAACTAAATAATACATAATATTTTTTGTTGAAAATAAAAACTAATATTTTTGTTTTAATTATTTTATAGCTAAATGTACCATTTATTTAAAACTGTTGCATATCTTACTCCAGTTTATTAATATTTGAACATGTACATCATTGTGTTTGAATTAATTATTTCTTATATGATCTATATGGCATAAGATGGGAAGGAGATTAATAAATTTTTCAGGGGCTTCTTCTCCTATATTCCATTTTCTAATATGATAATAGGTTAATTTTAATAAAAACAACTAATATTCATAATAAAATTTTCTGCAGACCTTTCACCAATTTTAACTTCATAAAATGTAAATTCCATAATAAAACTAAAATACAATGCCTATTGGGACTACGATCTTAATGATAGAAAAATACATTTCTAGCATAATCTTTATTGTAACATTATCTTTTGAAATTGGCCTTTATGCAGGTTATATAATCACGTTTAAATAATCAGATACAATTTAAATTATTAATGAGTGATTATAAATTTTCTCTTTGATCACAGTTAGATTGAGATTCATCATTAACAACTATTAAAATGTTGTTAATTTTCAATTGAAATAAACTATATTCTACTTGAATCAAGACCTCTTATTTTTATGAAATTTTTATCTCCTAGCATCAACACTAAAGATAATTATTAATAACTTTTATTTAATTTAATGTACATTTATCCCTTTTCAAATTTATTCTAATTTTCTTCTCCCTTGTTTTCATGATTGTTATAAAATTTCTAATTTTCACTTGAAATTGAATCAACTTTCTTAAGAAGATCTTGCTACAAGATTAAATATTTATAGATAATTTATTTATTAATTTAAAAAAATATAGAATTACTTTTTTCATTTCCAATCTTTACAAGTATTTTCAGATGTACATAATATTTCACTAAGAAATAAAATTGCATTGTGCGCAAGTTTTTACATAATTTATTTAATTTCAATGATATATATTGCTTTAAGCTAAAAAATTATTAACTTTAACATTCTCTCTTACAAATTATTGTTTAAGATATAGGCATACATTTTTGAGGGACAAGGGGTGGGGAGTGAGGTAAGGAGGTAAGGAGGATATTTTTATAAGCTTAAAATTATATTCACAAAAAGAGACATATTTCAGAGGGGGGGGGGGGTCCTCCTGTATAATATTGTTAAACGGCTCATTTTAAGTCGATTTTTAAAACGGCTAACTCAATATTTTCGACAAAAAAATATTGCCTAAGCCTCGAGATTTCGTTAATAGATGTCCAAACCGTTGTTCCTTCTACAAACAAAGGCTTGCGTAATCTTATTCTAGATCAAATATTGAGTTTTTTTAAAAATCGGCTCAAAACGAGCTGTTTAATAACACTACTCCTGTCTACGCCTATGCACACATACCAATTTTTTTATTTTCTGGTTAGTGGGAATTATTGTTGTACTTTCTTTTATTCAGTTTTTAAAATTAGTGTTGTACGGCCCATTTTGGGTCTATTTTTAAACAGTCCGATTAAGATTTTAGCCAAAACTATATCCTGCTTGCCTAGAGATTTTTCTCATAAATAGCAGAAAGGTATGGACCTCTTTTTGCCAAATCTCTGGGATTATATAATGTTATTTTGGCTAAAATTTTAATCGGGTTGTTTTTAAAAATCGATTCAAAATGGGTCGTTTAACAACACTATTTAAAAGATATAAAGTGCAAGTTTGTTTTTAATTTTTTCTACCATCCATAACTGTAATATTTACTTTTTAAACCAGTAGTCAGTTTATTTGTAAATGCTGTTATGTATGTGTTAACAAGGATATTTTGATTATTTCTTACATTAGTCAAATTGTATGTTTTTTCATATAATTTTAATAAGTTAAACCTAAAATCAACATGATTTAAATCTCTCAAAAAAAAAGTGTAACATATAAATTATATTATTCGAAATAAATGTAATCCGGCCAAAACCCTTAGAAGGTATCCTAAGCCCCTCAAATAAAATTTATGGAGAAGTCACTTAAAATACTAACCTCCTTCCTCCTCAGAAGTCCTGGATGTGCTTATATAATTTAAACATTATATTGTATCTTATATTTAAATACTAAGAAAAAGTATTATCTATAAAAACTTTACAAATGGGAACGTTTTATTCTGTACAAAAGTTGTAAAAATGTGAACGTTATCATATATTTTTCAATAATAACGGCTATATTCAAATAAATTTTGTATTTAGATATTGAAATATAGACTTCTGAACGCAACAACTTATAACAAGGTATTTTATTACTCCTTCCTATCAAAAGCATAAAGAGGAATTTAAATATTTAATTTTTTGGCACAATTATGAAATTATAATCATATATTTTTTTTAATTAAATACTAATTTTTTCATTATTAAATATAATTAAATTTTCATTGCAAATATCTTCAAAATTCCTAAGGAAAGAAAAAATTGGCATCCAATCTTTGATTTAAGAAGCACTTTGTTATTCATTCAATATAATCCAAATTTTCAGGAATGTTAAACTGAGTATTGATTATAGATTCTTCAACGTTGAATTTTCTTTTTAACCAAGACACAGAGCTAAATAAATTATCTTGATTTGAAAATAATTATTAAATTTTAAAAAAATGGTTTATATTACCCGTCCATATATTAACAGCATCTTTGATTTCCAAATTTTTTTCCTGCATATCTTTTATGTACTTGGGATCACAGTCTTTGTATTTGAGTAACTCTTGTTTTAAGTCATTAACAATTATTTCGTTGGCGGATATAGTTTTCATGATATCATTTTTTTCATCCTTGTTTTCAAATATATTAATGTAATTAATTTTTATAATAATTATAAGAATTCATTATTTTACTATTAAAGCCTATGCTTTTAAGTGGTAAGAGACTAAATAAGAGATAACGTCATCTTCATTGTTTTTATTAGTAAAATAACAACACCATTAATGGTATCGGTATATGAGATGACTATGTTACCACAAGAATAGGTTGTTATTTTGATTAATTAAATAAAGTCACTGATTTCTAACGGGTCCCGATCCAAAGTGTAAAATACTAATATTGGAAATATATCTCTAAAATAATATTGAAAGTAATGAAGGTCAACGGTCCTGTCCTGTCAGTCTTAAAGGGTCAACTGGACCGATAAACGGCCGGACCGATCTTTTTATTTATTTTTATTAATATTTATGTTTGCTTAATTATTCAATTAATATTATTTTTGTACCTATTTTTTTGTATATTTTATTTATGTTATTTTTCTAGAGGATAAATTTTAGTTTTTGTGAATTTTTACTTCATTTTTATTTTGCAATATGAAAACGACAAGTTAAGAGGCATTTTACTTAGTCCCAATAAACAAGAATTAAATACCGTCCTTTTTATTTAGAACCAAGGAATGGATCAATCATTTTTAAAAGACCATGGTCCAGTCCGGTCCGAGTGCTTCGGGCCGATCCGGAATAAAAACCGGACCGTGACCTTCACTATAGAGAAGGTAATAAATACATACCCAGGCTGAGAATGCGCGTATGCAGCGGGGGGGGAGAAGCCAAAAAATGCAGATGCCTGATATATTTTTCAAAAATATTAATGTTTATATTAATTTATATTTGTTAATATTTATTCCTGTCTCATATTAAATATATATTTAATTACATTTATTTATCACATTCATCTATTAAGTTATTTTATCAATTAATTTCGATTTCAAGTTTTCATTGGCGTAATATTTACCTATTATTTTCAAATTTCTAGTGATATTTATCTACCATTTTCATATTTCTAGTCAAATAATAATTTTTCTTAAACTCCTTGTCCAACAGGGAGAAAGAAAGTGCAAGCTTGTCCAACGAGATGGAGTCTCCGCCATCAAGCAGTAACAGCTTTTATGGAGTTAGAAGAGTGGATTATTAATGCTATTACTGAAATATTGCAATGGCTTGAAAAATATTTCCTCAGAAGCAAGAAAATTATTGGATTCAATACTTATTTCAATTTTTTTTTCTCATTAGAATGTATTATTTAATTATACAACTATTTTATGTAATACTTTTCAAAACATGGCATTGACTTGATTAAGAAGATGCAAATAGTGGAGAGCATTTTATTAAAACTCAAGGAAATCAGGGCTAATGTTGATGAAGAATTTCAATTTTATATGTTATTTTTGAGTCAAAAGGAGAGCTATACGTGTTTAATATTTGTCTCCCTCGACTTGCAGCAAGGCAAGCTCATCGTCAAAACATAAGTATAAGATAAGTAGAAAGTATTATAAAACTATTAAATGAATGGTTTTTAATTCATTATGCAGCACTTACCAATCTGCAGACAAAAGCCTTCCCAATCTTTTTCAGATGGAGATAGAAAAAAAATAATATTTATTTGATACCTTATTAGCTGAATAACTGTTTAAAAGATTAACTAAGATGTAGTCCCAAAAAATGCTATGGATGTTTTGTATAATTTCAAACACATTTTAGATTATATTCCCAATGTATTAAAATGATTATATACACTACCGGCCATAAATGACTGCCCACCCTGCATTTTTACATAAAAAAATTAATAACTTAAAACTTTTTAACTTATTGGGTAAAAGCGAATTGATTAATTAATTTAAGATGTCTAGAAATGTTTAAAACTCGGAATTTCTATAAATCTTTCGATGAAATTTTAGCCTTTGAAAATAACATTTCAAAAATGACCAATTTGGTAAAATAGGTTTCACTAGTTTTTTTCAGCAACAATTTTAAGTTGCCCATTGTTTTTTTGGTAGAAAGTCATTAATCACATTCTAATCTGCTTATTAATACCTATTTTTAATTATTTTAAAAAAAATTCCTAAATTTTTTCTTGTTTTAAATCATTGTTTAAAGAAACTTTCAGTCTTTATAAATATTTTAACGAACATTCGACTAAAATTATTAAAAGAAAAGAAATTTCTATTCCAACTAAATGTAAAATAATTAATTTACACATAAGTGGTAAAAGTAATCGCCGAATTGCCAGAGAATTAACCCTAGCTCGAAGAACAGTCGATGGTATACTTATAAAAGATTACGCAACAATAATACAATATCGAATCCAAAGAGGCCTGGAAGACCCCGCAAAACGACTTTAAGCGATGATAGGTATATAGCAAAGATCAGTAAACGCCAGAGTTGTTAAAGTAGCGCGCTACTTGTATCGCTATCTTTTTTGGTAGCTATAACTAATAGCGGATACTTTTTTTGAAATTATTTACTTTTTAGCGCGCTACTTTTTTTAAAAGTATAGCTACTTAGCTACTTTTAAAAAATATAATGAATGTAAGTATAAGCACGAAAATTTAAATATAGTACCATAATTAATTATAATTTTTATGATTTATTATTTAATTTTGAAAAAAAAAGAAGATGTAGGCTTGGAAACACGAGTATCAACAAGGACGCGGGTTCAATCCTGGTAAGAACCATAAAAACTTTCAAGTTTTTCTTCGATGACTGATGTGTAAAGACATATGGTATGATGAATTTCGGAGCTTAGAGATGACACCCCGGTCACCGACAGGCCTGGACAGCCGGGTGCTAAAGATACCTGTCCAATAAACAAAATGAAGGACACAAATGAAAATATGAATATGAAAGCTAGGGCGTTCCCTCCATGCGACGCGCAGGGTGTAGACCTCCATCCTGTGAAAAATAAAGTAAAGGTCAAACAAAGAAGACAAGACTGGCAAGTTTGAATATTGAGACGCTTAAAGGTAAGACGAGAGAATTGGCATCAATGTTGAACAAGAGAAAAGTTGATATAGCGTGCATACAAGAGACGAAATGGAAAGGACAGAAAACTTTGATGATTGGAGATGGGTATAAATTGTACTATAATGGACTTGTTAGCAATAGGAACGGTGTCGGCATCATCCTCAGCCAAGACCTAACCTCTTCAGTAGTAGAGGTCAACAGGATCTCTGATAGACTAATGAAGATAAAACTCTGCATTGGTCAATCAATACTACACATCCTATCAGTATATGCTCCTCAAACGGGTTGCAAGGAAGAAGAGAAAGATGACTTTAGAGCTATCTTTGATCAAGCTGTAATGGAAATCCCTAAGGATGACCTAGTCATAATTGGTGGTGACTTAAATGCGCATGTGGGGAAAGCAAGAGATAGCTACAAAAGGCATCATGGTGGTTTTGGATACGGAGAAAGAAATGATGAAGGAGAGCACGTACTGAAATTTGCGCAAGCCTTCGACCTTGCCTTAACCAACACCTACTATAGGAAAAAAGACAGTCATTTAATAACATATGAAAGTGGTACTAGGAAAACACAGATAGATTACATGCTAATCTCTCGCAGAAGATTAAAAGATGTAATAGACTGCAAAGTCATCCCAGGAGAAGATATCGCCGCGCAACACAAGCTACTAATCATGGATTTACAAATCTCAAATAAATCCACTCAAAATAAGATAAAACTGGAACCATGCATCAAATGGGGCAAATTAAAAACAATGACAGATGCCTTTGCAATCAATGCAAACATTGAAACAATAAATTGCTCACACCTTTCATCCAGATTAATAGACACTGCAAAATCGACGCTAGGCTTGACAAGAGGAGGCAACAAATCACACAAAGAACTATGGTGGTGGAATCAAGAGGTACAAACCACTATACAGGAGAAAAAAGCCCTTTATAAAATATGGTACAAATTTAAAAATGCAGATGACAAGTCAAGATACAAAAAATCCAAGAGATTAGCTACAAAGGCGGTGGCTAGGGCCAAATCTATGGCATACGATGACATGTACGAAGATCTACATACCAAAGAAGGGCAAAATAAAATATACAGATTAGCCAAACAGCGAGAAAAGAACTCTAGGGATATAAACGGAGCTCCGAAAGTAATCAAAAATAAAGATGGGAAATTGATAATAAAGGAAAAAGAAATAATGAATAGATGGAAAGAATATTTTCAGGAGCTTCTCAACTTTAATTCCCACATATTGCATCTCGATGAACACTCCCCTTGTCAAAACCTTGTACAATCTATAACAGAACAAGAAATAATCACATGCCTCAAGCATATGAAAAACAACAAAGCTAGGGGTCCAGACGATATTCCAATAGAAAGCCTTAAAGCACTAGGAGATGATGGAATACATCTCCTCACAAATCTGTACAATAAAATACTGGGAAATGAAGAGATCCCTCAAAAAAGAGGCAGAGCTATCTAGTTCCTATCTTCAAAAATAAAGGGGATCCACACAATTGTCAAAATTACAAGGGCATAAAACTAATGTCACACTGCTTAAATTCTACGAAAAAATAATAGAAAAAAGGTTAAGAGACGAAATAAGAGAGACTCAGTTTGGCTATATGCCTAGAAGATCAACAACTGATGCTATTATCCACGCAATTAGGCAAATGAGTGAAAAATACAGGGAAAAGAACAAAAAGCTACACATGGTCTTTCTCGATCTAGAAAAGGCCTTCGATAGAATACCAAGAAAACTTATCTGGTGGGCGCTACGCCACAAAAAAGTTCCCGAAAAATATATAAGAATAATACAGGATATGTATATGGGACATACAACAATGGTCCGTAGCACAACAGGTACTTCAGCAGGCTTCAAAATAGCCGAAGGAGTTCATCAAGGGTCGGCTCTCAGCCCACTTCTCTTCATTACAGTAAGATGTATTAGCACAGTCTATACCTCAAACAGTCCCGTGGAATATGATATTTGCAGATGATATTGTGATACTTGCCGAATCCAAGGATGAAATGAAAGAAAGGTTAGTGAA